AATTAAAAGGTAAAATCAAATATATTTTAATAACATTCATCATCATGTTTACAAACACTTGCAGCACATTTACATTTTTTCCTCACTGAGTAGTGGATACATTTATCCATAATTGTATCCAAATATTTTGTTTTCTCCACCACTGATAATAAATATCTTCTCAAGGTACACATTAGTCTGCTTCACTGGCTTGTATTTATTTATCTACATTAAATTCATCTGCCATCTCGTGGCCCAGATCTTTTCATCTTTATATTACACACATACGCTTGTAGCTTAGAGCCAGCAAATTTTATAATATTGCAGAATGTCCTAGTCACTTATGAACAGTGCAATATCGCAATCTCATCATCATTGTATGTCTAGAAAACAATACTGTTTTATGGTTACCCGCACATAACATTGTATTCAAAAAATTGTTCTTAAACTTTTTTCCCCAACAGTAAAATAGGATTGTATTGTGAAGAAGTGGGCCTATTGTGCTTACAAAAGTATAAATTAGTGAAATTATAGATGATAAAAAACATTTAGGTTTGATTTGAAGTAACTATCGTGAAAGGTTTTGATTGCGGTGGCTCGTGAACACTGGTGTTTTTACAGTATCATGTTTCCAGGGTAATGTTTAAACAAACAGTACATTTCCAGTTTCTGTACACATTATTGTTACAGTTAATCCTAGTAATGGGGTTCAATAATTTACCTCTAATCAGTAATCTAACATTTCATATTAGATAACATTTGTAATTCTATTAATTTTTAACTAATAGATATATACTTACTTCAATTTGCTGTAATCTCCAAACATATTTGTATAACTATAATTGTAAATGTTAATAAAACACAGCAATCTAAAATTCTTTTTTGGAAACGATGGACCATCATGTTCCTCCAATGAGATAACTCTCTTATTCTGGGAATACAATCAGATCAACTGAGTGGTTCATAGGACAACAATTGTTCAAGGTCAATGACAGTGCGGGTGATGACAAAGATCGATAAATAATACTCTCGGCCCCATCAACTCGGTTTAATAATGCATCTTTCCTACACTGTGTATATGTTGCGAATTGTTGGTACCACCAACTATCAATTACTTAGTGTTTAGCATTGCACAACAACCACTAAAGCCATTGGCGATTGGTCTCAGTTTTGAGCCCCGTCAGCCCCCACCCTCTCCCATACACACGCACAAACCACTGTTGTTGCCATTTTCATATTCAAAGTCAACCAAACACAGGTCTCCGAAATTTATTTTGGTGTAATAATTCCTTAAAAATAATAATAATAATTTGGTCACTTCAATCCACAACTGTTTGTGGGACACTGCTGTGCACAATTGGCTGCCATGTTTCACCCACAAATTATAGTCAATTCACTTTACAGTACAAGCGCTTTGAGACGTCTCAAAGTCATGATAAGGAGCTATATCAAATGCAAAGATTATTATTATTAACAGGAAATCTCTTGTAGGTTAATTTGATTCTTCACAAATTTGACAATTCTGGCTAAACAAAAGAATAGAACTGCAATTTAAATCCTGGTTTTCAATATCAGTAATATTTTCGTAATATCTATTTTATAAACTTGTAGATAGAAACTGAGGTATTCCAAACTGTGAACCACATGTGTCACTCTATGTGGACAACCTGAAATGATAACAGTATTTCCATTTTTTTCCACAAAAAGCAAAAATTTATTTTAAAAAATCTACTTTAACACTATTGGTCTATTGTACACGAATATCAAATGTAATAATGAAATGAACATGTATAAAGCTACACGTGTGTTTTACAACTTAAATTTCTTTCGTCATACCATCTAGTTTATTTTATACAATCCTAATGAATTATGTTAAGTGGGCACAGACACAAGGAATAATCGAATGCTGAACATATTTCTATGTGTTAGCAGAGGAAGTAACGGATCTAAAGCCGCACGTTAAGCAGATATGTATATTCACATTCCTATCTCGTGAAGAAATTGTGGTACACTCTGAGTTGAATTATTTTATACTTACCATCTAAAAGGATTTTGGGTGGAAACACTCTAGAAAGTATTATAAACTAGCAGCTGTCCGAGATTATAAAACAGCGCACACATCATTTATAGTTATATCTTCACATTTATCTTACAAGATTGGTTTGTATTAAGGTTTTTTTTTACCAATCGAGTCCTGGTTCCAAACAAATACTACGTATTCGTTGCCTTTGATTGAATTCGGGTAGTAAATGTAGATATGTGTTATCATTATTATTATTGTTGTTGTGCATTTAATTCCCAAAACAAATTCACGGAGGCCTGGGTTTTAATTAATCTTTATTTTAACTCTTAATAACGTTTCTGATATTTCTCCTTTTTTTAAATAAGAATAGAGGAACCCCAGTAGCCATAATTAGATTGTTTCACAAATTGTATGTCGGGCAACTACATTCAAATTAATTTAAAAACAATTACCTTTTAAGAAACGCTACCAAGTTATTTCCTTTGTTACTGTAGTACATCCTGAAGTTTCTTTCGGGGGAATGAGAAGACGCAGTGTTAGAATTATCAATAATTCACACAAAATAAAACAAAAGTCACGGTTGGTTAAACTCTCTAAATTCATAGCCTGTGGGTCTTTTAGCCCGTCATTGGAACACAATCTGCACACATATGTTGACCCACTTCAGGTTTAAGTGGAACGGCTTCTTACAAATAAAAGCAGTTTAAAATGTTGGCATCTTTGAACCCCATAACTGAGAACAGCTACTGCAAGATCCGACCACCACAACACGTGGAATTATTATAGCGGAGGAGGAACAAACTGCTGTATCTCAGATTGGACTTGTTTTTCGGCTAATGTCTGTGATATGTATCTTAATTTTCGCTCTCGACCCTCACTAGTTTTCTTTGCTGCCTTTTAAACGAGGCTCAGTCTTGCTGATCCGCTGAGCTTGCACTGCGAGTTGCAGACGGGACGTATTTCTGACAAGTAAAAGCATGACTCACAAAATAAAATGTAGTCATTCAATCAACTCAGAACAACCCATCACCCCCGTACGGTTTTTTTTTTTTTTTTTTGGGGTGGGTGGGGGGGGGGGGATTGTTTCAAGGCCAACTGCAACTAGTCTTCTTGTAATCGCATATTAGGAAACGTTAACCTTTCCTGTTGCCGCTGACGGTCAACTCTGTTGGAACAAGACAAACACCAAAATGGGTTGTTGACACGATATAATACATCAGCACTGATACAAAGAACAATCACTTCAAATTCAGATCTTAACGATTCGCCTCTGCTTTTCGGTAACTTGCTATTATTAGTGCTAATACAAATAGTGTTGTGTGGAATCGTGTCTGCAGTGACCAGTCGTCAGCATTCCCTTTTAAAATGAAATCCACAGCAAAAAAAAACATAACCTAATTGGTCTTTCTCTGTCCATCAGTATTTGAGGGACGAGCGTTGGTACCACAGTGGTAAGTCGTATTGACGTGAACAAGTTACTGAGCACGATTGTGTGCATCAGCCAAATTAATATTATTAAAATCCATGGAATTTAAGTGATTAATAAGTGATTGAAGTGTACCTAAAACTTGATGCAGGGGTTTTAAGACACCAGCCTTCCACTTCTGAGAAATGTTACCGCTAACAATTAAATAATAATTCTTGCATTTGATATTAGCGGCTACAAGGTCGAGAATGTCTCAAAACGCTTCACAGAGATTCACTAAAAATGAGTGGCTTTATTTGCATACTACTGTGTGAAATGACTTCAGGCAATCTCAAACAAGTTCCGAAGTTTATAAGACAAAACTCACCAGATTCAGCACTAAATTGGCAATTTCACAAAATGTTGAAAGAGTATCCTCTATTGAATTCTGGCAATATGTTAAAATAATATTTCAGCGATTTTTCACTGTAGGTCACTTTGCAGAGCAAGCAGAAATATCAAAAGACTTTACCCTCCATTGCACTTACAACTGAAATAGTTGTTGGATATAAAAAAAAGTTAAGAACTTATTTTAAAAAATCACCCTTCATTGGATATTATTTTGCTGCAATATAGGGCGGTCTTATTAAAAAAAACACAGAAAATATTTTCGAATACTAATGTCGTTGCTTCAACCGAGTTGACAATTCTGACAATTCTTATTTCCTTTCTTGGACTATTGAAGTATCAAAACGGGAATAAAGTCTAGTTTCGTCTTTGAATGGCACACGAGACTTTAATTGAGTGTGATCTGGCGTCGTGAATAGTGATCGAGAGCAGAAGAACAAGTACACATTTGTTCACGTATTATATAGTTCACATAAAGTAATATGCAATACTGGGACTTGGCAAACCTACCAATCTTTCATTTATATCTCCAACAATCCACCTCGTATGAGAACAACCAACTGTTTCAGGCAACCAAATGAATAACAATGTAATCTTACTTTCGGGCTGCATTGAAAATAAACTGACATAATCTAAATATCTAATTTTATCTTAATTGATCTCAAATTGGCTGCACTATATTCCAATCCATAACGAGCTTGGCCAGAAAAAAAAACTAAGGAACAAATTAATTCAAATCCCTAATGTTGTATCAGTCCAGGTCATATTGAACTTAAGTTGTCAAATGAGTATTTTTTAAACGAAACGATGTGATTATAATTTATATGTGATACATTTATGCGTGTTTTATACATAATAAAAGTATAACTCTCCTTTCAGCTAACGCGAAATTTAGAAAATGTAATAAATGGATGCTTTATTTCACTACGTTTCCATTTATAACTTTATTGGAAGTCATTCTTCTATGAAACCACTGTGAGATTATTCTAGGATATAGGAAAATTTAATTCATTAATTATGCAACATTATTGTAAAGTTGGTATAATACTAAATACTCATATTTTATTGAACGGATCATAATGAACGAAAATGAAAAATGATATATGTTATATTGCATGTCATCCATCTATAACAACCGCAGTAAATGTGTATATTTGCGATAACAAAACATACTTCTGAATCGAGTGTGATTCCATGCACGTTCTGCATTTATTGACCACATGAGGTCTCAGAAACATTTATTTACACAATATACACGAAGACGTTTGCAATATGAGGTATATATAACCGCAAACGTTTTACTGAAACCTACAAGTCAAATAAGCCAATGGCAATCGAAAATGTCATCGCCTTTTTTTTTCGTCGTATAAATTACTCGATCGTTACCCAGTTTAACACATTTTCTTACAAAACGGAATATTACACAAAGCAGATTATTTACACGGTATTAAAATATTCAAATTTCACGGAAAAAAAAGATGCACTGTACATAAATACAACACACGAGTTAAATACAGACGCTTTCAATCAATGTTTAGAGACCGACGGTTGTTGATACTGAAGCATCTTAACTAAACACATTGCCTTTGAACTCGCATCTTATACATTCTATTGCTGTAGTTTCAGGAAGTAGGACCTACCTATGAGTCCGGCCACCAGTAAAGTATAAGGGTAAGCTATTATTTCTCCAACAGACTAGAGTCCCCTGATTATCTTAAATCATGCGTTTACAGAATAAGTACTCCTGTCGTCATCGATGTCCACCTCTTCGTCGCTCTCGTTTGATTCATCAGATTCATTTTGCTGCGAAGCTGGAGAGGTTGGACGATGGGATTCATTCAAGGACATTGGTGTATTCTGATCGGGGCTCAAACACCTCTCTCGCCTCTTCTCGCACTGACCTTCGGTGGATTGATCAGAATTGTCCAGTTCCTCTCTTTTGGTTCCTTGAGGGTTCTCCTAGAATACATAAATATATTAACTTAATATAGATTATATATACACACACACACACACATATATAACGATATTATATTATTTTAAATTGTCAGTTTCAAATTATGGAACAGCTATTATGGCATCGTTAATTTATGGTGTTTCGTGTTGTTTGCCACCCACGAGAATTACAAACTCACAATATCAGAGCTGCAGTGCACAGTAACTAAGAGACAACGAGCACCATCACACCTGATGGTTTCTGGTTGCTCAGCCGATGCTTTGCAAGAAAACGGCAAGCGTGGCACCGTCTTCGGGCAAAGTATTGCTTTAAGCATTCTCACTCCCTTTCATGGAAGAAGTGAAGCATCTTTACCAGCATCACAGGTAAAGCCGCCCTGCTGACAGCCGAAGAAAACAGTTGCTACACGATCATTTTACACGAGTTCCTATGCAAACCCTCCTACTTGATTTGATTTGGTGTAATGATTTAAGAACTAAGTGTCATCGTGACTCACATGGTAAAGCCTTACTTGCCGAACAGACCAGATTAACTGAATCTGTGCTAAATTAGCAAATCTCAACTGGGGCCCAATGCAATTGGTATCAGTGCCTCTATTCTCTGGGACAGAGAAGAAGAAAAAAAAATCAGCCGTGGTTTCTGCTGCTGAACTCGAATCAGTGACCCCTGCTGGAAAGTGCACGTGAACATTAGGTTAGTGTAACATGGTTAAATACCACACCAACACTCATGATCTACTACGATCACATAAGAATGGTCCGTTGGGTTAGAATACAGGAAATGTCCTTGGAACCACTTGCACCTTAAGAGCTGGGGCGAAAATTGGAGGGTGTTCATATTTTCAAGCTAACTATGCAGCTACTGGGGGAATTTGTCAGGGACTTTATTTCAGCGAGCAAATTAATGGGCTGTGAGAGGTTATACACTTTGAATTTTGTGGGGTATTATTTTTCGGGAGTGTGTGTGTGTGGGGCGGGGGGGGGGGGGTGGGGGTGGGTCACTTTTTGCTATTAAAACATAAGAGATTGTAGAATGGATGGCCATTGTACCCCCTATGGTTCACGCAATTACTTCCACATTGAAGGATTAACCGGTGTGATGTTATCACCACAAAGCCATCCAAGTGTAATCAACAGTGGATGGACGGGAGGGAGAGAGGAAGCGGGGAGGTGAATAGTACAGTTAATACATAATATGCTAACATGCTCTCCAGTAATGTTACTGCAACAACAATTTAATTGTGTAAACGCGCATATTTGGGGATGGAATATTTATTTGGGGCCGTTAATGTCACTTATACGATAGCTCAGCAGCTCATATTAAGTCGCTTGCAACTCAATGGCTACAGAGTTCCAATACTAATTAAGCAGAATTAGTTATGAAAAGTGTTAGAAACACGTTTGTATGAGGAATAGCATCATTTCAACATATCGTTTGGTAGTTTGGGCTGTTGCTACACTTCCAGAGTAGGTGACACTCTTAACAATATATACGTTGTGTTTTGCCGTTTAAATTAACTGGGATCCGACATGTGGACCACTCTTTTAAATCACTTATTATTCTTTAGAGTGTCACATCTTGATACCTGGGAATTTAACAATAACGTTGGCTAAAATAAAGTAAGTTATTAAGGTCCGGTTGTGTAAAGTGCATCTCCATTTTGAAATACTGCGCAAGAGGTAATAAAATATACTGTCGTTTTTAATCAGATAAGACTGTGTACAGTTTTGTTTCGATTTTCTCTTCAAACCTTAATATTCTTCAAGGCCGTGTATTAAACCGGATCTCATTCGGAGAGATAAACTAATATGAAATATGAAAGTACACAGAAAGACGTGGACAATCAGAATTATCACAGGGAAGAGACCTGAACTAAAAGCCTGGCACGTTTTGTTTTCTTTTGGTATGGACTTCCTCCAGTAAACATTACTTTATATCTATTTGTAGCTCCTATCTAAATTTCACGTCCCACTGTGTTTTCATTTAGTGGTTAGAGCCCACTGTTTAATTATTTTTTTCATGGAACTTGTATAAAACGTTTTCAAGATGAAAGTATAATCTATTATGCCATGCAAGTTAGCGATTTAATAATCCTGGTTAATCATTTTGGATGGAACAAAAAAGATTCGTTGAATGAACTACGCGAGTTGCAGACAATTGCATTAGCGTCGAAGCATTAAGTAGACAAACAGCATATGGGATAACTAACGAATTATTAGGCTTTTAATGGAGAGCCATGAAACACCCGAAATACTGCAATTGATATAGGAAACTGCATTAGAAGCTTTTAACGTTTGTGCAGCTCCAATGGTTCCTCCTGGATTCCAACATGACTATTTGTCTTTTCCATCAAGGTGAAGAGGTTAAATAACCGTTCAAATTACTTTAGCACACAGCATGTAATAGGTGCTGACATTAAAGATAAGTTCATTACAACATCCATTTCCACGACAGCCAAAGCTCAGTCTCACGCGGATGTAAATCCCTTTACCTGTTTCAGCCGCCGCCACTTAGCTCTGCGATTCTGAAACCAGGTCTTTACCTGTGTAAACGAAAGCATCCTGAATTTAGGATATATCCACCAAGGTCAAGTATATTTATAGGTCTGTGCAAGAAATATCAACGTAAACGTGAATGCAATCATCGTGCTCGAGATGTTGTCACAAAATAGTAATTCCGACCACAAATTTAAAATGGCATACAAAAATGTCAATACAGTGAAATGTAATAAATACAAGATTGTGCTATATAAATCTGGTAGCTTTACAATCAACCAAACACATCTAACGAACAGCTTTTTATTTTAGTTTTTTAGTTTAAAGAAACGCTTAATCAGAACAGTGTAAATTATGAGCTCAATTAAACGATAGATATGGAACGGCTCCACTTATTCATTTCCCGAATTATGTACCATGGTCATAAAGTTTACGAAACAATTTAATATAAAAGCTTTCTGTCGGCCAACGTTGAATTAAAGTACATAACGTAGGAAGTCACATTATCTTGGGATGGTGAAGATATACTATACTTTCAAAAAGGTTACCATAGATTTCATATACCTGTCTCTCCGTTAGTTGCAACATCTTGGCAAGTCTTTTTCTTTCGGGGGGTGAGAGATATTTTTGGGTCTCGAATTTCTTCTCCAATTCAATGGTCTGATCGTTTGAGAACCGAACCTGTCCTCCTTTTCTTTTATGTGGAGGCCTTGGAATAAAATGGCTCCATATCAAAGATTTCCCTGTAGGAAAAATAGGCAAAACGATCAGTTATTGCATCGCAACAATAACATATTGGATTCCAATCACATCTACTGCATTTACATGGGTTTACTATTGAAAAGCAGTCGGATGTACAGGTGATATTTCTGTTTTACTCAATTCTCTTAGTTCTTTACAGCTCTACACATTTATGACAATAAAAGTATAATGTCATTAAGAGTTTAAATGTATTACTATTTAGGATTATTCGCCACAGAATTATACAATTAACGAGGAGCCTTTTTTGTTAAATTGAAGGTATATGCAAATCAACCATAGGTGCGGAATCTGAAGAAACATTAATTCATTATCATTAACTATATCCACCTATGTTGGCTGCTCTGTTCCTGTACTGTTATGTATCGGTAATAAAACTAGATCGTTTCTTGAAAGAAATGAAGTATGTTACAAGAGATGCCGAAAACAAAGATTTTTTCTTCATCTCAATGAAACACTGATTTCACATAAGCCCTGAAGCTTTGGGTGAAACCTCGCACATCAGGACTATGGCAACATTTCCGTCAATGTGTTTCCTGTTGGTCTATCTCGCAAACCGGCTGTTATTTCCTTCTGCTCGTTTATAAAAACGAGTCAAGGAAGCCGAGATACGCTGCAATATGGTTACTATGCTTAAGGTTGCACAGTGCATTATACTACTGTAGAGGTTTCTTGGTTGGGTCGTGATTAAAAAAATCAGTTTCAGCATTTTGAATGACATTACACTGTACATGATTACCAATTCCACTGTTTGGCAAAGGGTGATAATAATTGGCTTGAATATAAAGTAGTAATTAACGTTAACTCAGTTCACAATCCAGTTATCCGTAACCTTGTAAAATATGCGAATCACATATTTTATCAAATTATTTCACAAGTACGGCATACTTTATTCCACGAAAGAGGATGCGTTTGAAGAGAAATAAATGCCCGCTGATGGAGATCACTCTTGTTCTCGCTGGAGTGTAACTTAAAATGCATTCGGAATTTGGACGATTTGTCGAAATACAATCCGAGTATAATTCTGCGTAACTGTTACTTTCCGCGGTTCTGCTTGCGTCAGTTTCTACTTCAATTGCTTCAAAACCGCCACAAAAATAGGAAGCAACTGGTTATTTTAGCTGCCATAAAGTCACATCCCACACAGAGGAAATGAACAATATCAGAAAAAAATGTATCCCGGCTATCAGAACTCGAGTGTTTCCTGTATATGTCTGTATTGAGGATGTCGATAAAATAATCAGCAGCATGCACGACTCCCGGTGAAGAGTCTGGTTCTGACTGAGAGGAAAACATTTAACAGCTCTGCAACCAGATTTACTTCTATCGAGAACTCAAGATTTCCTGTACGAACGGAAAAGGGTCAGCTTTTCAGAACACAAGCTTGTTAACTCAAGCTGCAATTTCTAATGAGTCGGAACTCCATCAATGAATGAAGTGAGGGGAGGGGGGGGGGGGGAGCAAAGCTCCTTTCCATTTGTGGAAAAAAAACATGCATTGTGTTTGACACAAAGTCAAGGCTATTAAGACCATAACCATCGGAGGCCATTTGAGAAAAAATATAATTGTACTACTGTATAAGCAGACGTTACGTTTGGTAAATATTTCCACACCGTTAAATGTTTTGATCAAACGATGAACCGAATCACCGCAGACACCCCTCTCTCGTCTTCCACATAACACCCCCCACCCCACGCCCCCCCTCCCCCAGGAAGCTGATCCGCTATTTTGGTTTATAAGTGGAAAAAATGTTCTCTCACACATTTTACAATGCAATCACTGGCTTAGGAACTGGAATCCCAGTCGTGTTTTTTTATGTATATATTAAGTTAAAATATTATCTGGAATTGATATCTGAACTGACATCAATTACTATCGACGTCTTGTTAGGTTTGCACGTTAAACCGTGGCTTGATTTACTTCCCTTTAACCACTCCTCCCAGCGGGTTTATCTCTAAAGCTCGGGGCAATTAAAACCCAATAAAAACACATTTGCAGAGTGGATTGCATGATGGCCAACGCACAGTTACAGCGATGTGAACCACGCGATGCAACGACCCCCCCCCCCCCCAACCCCAACCCCCCTAACCCCCCTAACCCCCAACACCCCTTTTTTTTTCCATTCCAGAATTCCCCTTTTCTGGTGGCAAAAAAAAACCAAAAAACCGATTGAAGCAGAAAGCCGAGAGTTTGCAGACCCGGTGGCGCAGTTCTCGAAATTGTCGGCGACACACGGACTGAACTGGAACTGGAACTGGAAACTCACCCAAAGAGTCGTGTCTGAGAAAAGCGTGAGGGTAGTCGTTGACCGCCCGGGCAAAGGGGTAGATGGGTCCGTTGAAGGCGCCGCCGCCGTAATGGGTCAGTGCGGAGTGGGAGAATCCCGGGTGGATCGGAGTTGGCTCGTAGATGGGAGTCCTGTACGGAGACGCGATGCTGGTGAATGACGAATTCGGGGACGGCAACGTGGGGCTCGGGGTCACGACCGTCGTCGGATGGACCGTCCCATTTCGACCCAGGATGTCGTCGATGTAGAAGGGAGTCGGGTGCACCGGTTGCATCGGGGTCGGCGCGTAGAGCGGCAGATTGACGCTCGCTCCCGAGGAGGTGGGGTGTTGGTATTGCATGGCGAGCCGACAAGTCCGGCTCAACTTCTGGAGTGGAGAGAGAGAGAGAGAGAGAGAGAGTCTGTGCGTGTGATAGAGAGAGAGAGAGAGAGAGAGAGAGAGAGGGGTGGGGGACACACACACACACACACACAAAAATCCTTCAACACAATCAACAGTTACTCACAACGCTGTGCGTGGAGAAAAAATGGCAACTGGTGTGGGTTGAGTCAGGTGGAGTTGGCGGATCCCACCTCCTCTGAACTTTGGCGCTGATCACTTTCGGACCCTCTGCCTCAGACTTATCAAACTCCGCTTCAGCAGTACATGTCTATTGGCGGAGGTGGAGCTAACGGGGACCCCGTCAGTCTCCTCCATCCCTGTGGGTTTGTGATTGGCTTTCAGGTCAGTGCTGGTGTGGTGCCCGAGACATTGCCGACCGCCCCCCCACCCACCCCCCCCCCACCTCAACCCCCCCCTTTCCTTCTGAAAGAAAACCCTGATCACATTCGGACCGGGGACGAGGTTAGGTTCTGCAATCGCCTCCAACTCCTCACTGCAATCAACCGCGCAGATCCAAATCATTTCTGCTCCACACGATGTGTCCCACCCCAATAATAATAATAATCATCATCATCATCATATAAGATTGCAGCTATTTCAAACGGTTGTGTTCTGGGGACCGCGGGTTTAACGCGATGCAATTCCGCCAATTCCCTGGTTGGGGGGTTGGACCCTTTTGCAGCTCAGGGGGGAAAAGAGAGAGAGAGAGAGGGAGAGAGGGGAAAAAAAGTGCATATTTAGAATATAAAATCACAGACAACAGTGTTTGCCGATGATTCAGCAGAGTTTAACACCCGTGCGCCCAGTAGATGGCAGCAGCTGTTATGTTGAACCAGATATCTTTTGTCAGAAGTTACAGTATTTTTTTATCCCACATATTAATATTAACGTCTTTTAACGGGACAATTGCACCAGTCATCACTGCGCACACCTTAAAATGAATTTTCCGCGGATCCGATCAGGAAACGCATCAGGCAATGTGGAACTCAGGAGATTCAAAGGCTTTGGGCAAATAAAAAAAAAACCCAAAACAAAACCAAAAAAAATAAACTGCTGCAAACGCTCCGATGGAAAAAAAAAATGGTCACCGTTTCAAAGTTCTTTGGCAATTTCTTTCTTACGATTTCGTAACTTCCACTTTGCAAAACAAAAATCGTTGAGAGGGCATTTTGCCAGTCTCGTTCTTATTCACTGGACACGATCAAACCACTAAAACTGAGGGGTGGAAAAAGCGGAAATATTCGTGTCAGAACCAAGGATCACGTGCGAAATTGGACGTTAAGTTGACTTATAATGATTTGCGATGTGAAAGTTTATGTGCAGACGCGGGTTCAGCGCAGGGGATTGATCGACTTCCTCCAAACAGCGTTGCGGCGAATTGCTTCTGGTACCGAGACACTCACATCAGGAAAAGCCAATCAACATTGTGCAATGGTCTCGGTTTGACATCACACTTTGTGTTGGTAAATACTTCGAGGCGATGTGTATTGCCAGAAATAGTTGCGGTGGTCGAAGTACATAACACTTTCGGGAAGTTCCAACACACATTTTGATGCTCGTGGCGAACCCGTTGCCTCACTTCAAGGCGCACCTAAAATGTCAGTCTCGAACCTCTCGATATCCTGCCCCGATTTTTCGGCTTTTATCACATAAATAACGTCAAGATGTACACTGGGGAAATGCAATTAACAAAACGCGGACGAAAAATATATGATATTTGTGCACTACGAACCGTACAAACCCAGGATCAAATTCACTTTCCTATTGTTTGCCTATCCGGAGGAAAAATCCGAAAAAGCCTAAAATATTTTATGTCATAGCTTCTCCAGAAATAGTTAAAAAGAACTGCTGGAAGCCACAGTATATCGAGCAACCTAGAAGTAATATTTAAATGAGGCAGGTAATTTCAGTTGCAAATACGATTAGTTCAATAGTAGGGTAGGACAGCTTCAGTTGAAGTACAACTCGCTGTAAAATATTTTGGAGGTTTTAGTTACTTTGTTTAATTAATGTATGAATGCAGTTTGCAGAAATGTGAGAATGAATTGCTATGCAAATACGAATAAAGATCATTCTTATTTGATATTGGTCATCTTTACCTTTGTAAAGTCGGGGCTGTTAAATTCACCGTATTGGCTGTCACTGGCCCCAAAACATTTCATAGGTTTACATATTTAAATGATGTCATATGCGAGTTTTTTTTTTTTGCAGAGCGCAAAAAAGGCTTATTTAAGATGCTAAGTTCTGTGCGAGGATCTACACGCATCTACAAGCTTTACTGATCATATCAAGTTTAGGATTTGGAAAGGATGGTCTAATATACCAAATGGGCTATTGGTAGAGACAGAGATCCGTCGCAGATAATCAATGAAGCTGTTTTACATGTTGCAAACCGACTTGTGAACGATTAGATACTTCCAGATATGCTATCTTCGATGATCTGCAAACCTAGTATTTGGGAAACGATCAAAACCTAATTTCGGGGGTTATAAAGAACCTTCTAATATCTGGATAACCCGACCTGGTTCTTTTTTTTACGATTAACTTATTCAATGCAACTTTGAAAACTAGTTTAAAAGAACAGAGCATCTCACCTTTATAATATGCTGTCGTACATTGTCCTGAACACGTTTTTTTTAAGAAGCTGTACATTTTTTTAAAATGTTTACAAGAAACAATACACCACTAAAAGTAAAATAAAATTCTAGTTTGACGTCAGTCAGTCTGTTCTCGACTAGTTTAAAAGGAAGAAATAGTACCATTCAAACTGTTTCGAAGTGGCTATTGTTTTTTTTCTTGGTTGATGTGGTTAATAATGACCTAATCTGATGATTTCCATGGATGTCATTTCATCACCCTATACGATCTCTTGACTGATTATATTACATGAGACAATACATAGATAACTACAATCAAATTGCTTAATTTAGTCAAAAGGTTTAGTTAATATATATCACAATATACATTTAATGCATTGTTTATAAGTGATATACAGCTCTCCTGTTCAAGGAAAATACCGTAGTGATTATAAATCTTTGCAGATTCGAAACGCTGAGAGAATCTGTCAAGAGAAAATGGGGTTACTATTGCTATTGCCTTGAGAATCATTGGTTGGGACTAGTTTGCAATCAGGGGTCAATATAAACCAGTCCAAATACTGAAACTTGCTGAAAATGCTTAAATTTCTATTTGAATTATATTAAATAAAACCGCGATATCAATATTCATATCTCATTGAGAAAATGATAAGAAATGGATTGTTTTCTAATCATAAAAATCGTGTTTTGCAACATTTCTGTGGCTATAAACACGGTACGTTCAACCATTGACTTGTTTCTTGTTAGGACGTGAAGTCCAGTATATTGTGCAATGTGAATTTATTGAATGTCCCACCTCAGTAGCTTGAGAGAAACAGAAACGAGAATAAATATTTATGAATTAAGGTCAACTAAAACAGGCGACAAAAATGGTCCTATTTGGGAGCAATTGAGTTGTACCGAGAGAGAGAGCATTGCTGATCATGACCACTTATTTAAATTATTTTCCAAAAAGATATGCTCGCTGCTCTTTAACCACTTGTGCAATAACAACAACCTGCATCTATATAGCGCCTCTCACACAGGATAGCGTCCCACAGCACTTAATAAATACAGTGTAGGTTCAGCGGCTGGTATTGTAAAAATATAAAATGCTTTGAGTAAACGTCATGCCTAATGTGGTCCTCAGCCATATCCAGATCCTGATCTGCACTGAGCCAACTGATCTCAGCTGATGTCTAGATATTATTGGCCTCAGGCCAGGGAGGGTAAAGTTACTCAGCACTTCAAAACTCTGCTCAATCCAGTGACCCCTGCTGGAAAGAGCTGATATGTGGATGAAGAAACAACAAGGACTAGACTCATCCAGACATCACTGATTTTCAAGGCTCTCACAAGAATAACAGTCAGACGGGCAAGTGTCTTGAGTGTTAGCAGCACTCTAAAACGCTCAGATAAATCGTCGCCTTCCATACTGGAGAGAAAACTGGGAATGTAAACCCTGTGGTGCACAGACCTAAAAGGCAGAAATGCAGAATTAGAAGCGAAATGCAATCCAGATTAACGACTTGACGTCTGTCACGAAGAACAATACTACTACATGTGTTCATTTTCCAAAAGAATTTGATCGTTAGTGAACGTTTTTCGCATCACTGCAGAATCACTGAATAGCTGATTTATTACGTTCATCCATATTCATATAGGAAAAAATCACTGTGTGTAGAACACCGACCTTCAATACATATATATTTGATAAAATGTTGAATAGTTAGACCGTATATTGCAAAATTTCCGCTATATGTGTTTGGGGCATTGTTAAAATGAAGATTTGTTCAATCCCGAGTACCACTTGGGTCACATTCACAAATGTTGCAATCATATTCCAAAGTGTGCGAGAAACTTAGATTGATGACAAGTGGTCTGTAAGGAGTGAAAATAAGACTCGTGTTTGGATATTAGTGATTCCACAACTCACCACATCAGTTGTTGCTGCTTTGTGAGTTTGAAAACTCAGCAGTTTTCTTTTTAAAAAAAAAATGACCTGAATGTTTCTTTGTATTGAGAACGTCCACTGGTGAGACTAAACCAACACTGGGACTGGGAGGACTCTTTTAAACGCTGTTATGGCTTGGTTTGAGATCAGTCGGGGATTAAACTAGTCTTTAAATAAACAGTTGTCAGAAGTGACCACTTTGGGTCCTACGATACAAATAGAAAAGCCAATCCACGGTGTTTCTATTGCCGAATTCGTGTTTCAATGAATCGCTTTGAAGCGCCGCTCTTGTAACTCACCTTCCACATTTGTTATTTTTTCAGTGATTTTCCTTTCGGCGCCGTATCGTGGTGGTCCCACCTCTAATAACGGCTCTGGACAGATAAAATAAAACGACATTGAAGCCTTTCCAATTCAAAGGCTTGAGGGTATTCAGGTTGAAGACCCCAAACGTTGGACGGCAGGTCGGCGCCACTGGTAAAACACGCTGGTGTTTGAACGATCTTGTATCAGCCCTCTTAAAGATAAATGTAATCTCGTCGGAATGAAAGAGTACAAGGACCATATAACATGCAAACCGTTGTAAAACACGAGAAAATCCACAGGTATACATCGCTGACGCTCAAAGCAGGTTCGAGAACCCGAGCAAAAATAATACAGCGCCACACAAAAAAAAATCACGTTGATTAAATATCTATAAACATTTGCACGTCCGTGCGTTTTAAAACACATCTGCTCCTCTCCCTCACCAGCACAACCACACAATCGATGAAAGTTAAAAATAGTTAGACGAAAAGATAGCATCCCTTTCAACCCGAGGTTGACATCAAAACGCTGACATATCTTACATTAATATTTTTTTAGTCAGAATCAACGAGATCTCTGAAAGTTCATCTTTGTTATTGATGTTCGATTTGGTATCACGAGTTGGAAAAAAGGAGAGGACAGTTTTAATGTGTGTCGTTGCTACAAAGTGCCTCAGAAATCTAAATATAATCGCGAAGAACTGTCACGAGTATTTTCACTTCAACACATTTATTTCTTTGGGTGAAGTTATGCATAACATGGGGTAAAATTAGTGAACGTTTTCTAAATTGTTTTTTTTAACAATTGTATTTACATGAACAGAGCAAACGCAAAGACTACTATATTTTAGTGCTGTTGACCTAAATACATTTCCAGAAGTCCCGGAGACAACATGATATAGCAATATTATAACAAGCATTTCAGTTTAATTAACAAGTGGGTGAAGGTAAAACTTTTCCATGCAACAATTCCACAGAGTGATCTATAAGTCCAATGTGATTGGAGTGGAATTCTTCAGGTCTAACCCTAAAATATTCCATTCACGAAACGAAATGCCCCTAAAATGTCTTGTTTTTATTTATTTCCTCTTCTGAAGGCATCGTTGACACTGGGATATATGGGCAGCGACTGCCTACCCTCAAATCCTTTACTCAAATAGACATATATCTTCCTGTGAGCTCAGACAGAAAGTGTTAAGACTATTTGGCCATGGGAGAAGGGAGAAGGCGAAAAGACATTCAGTTTGAATCTTTTGGAAATTAAGTAGTGGCTGAGAAATAGTAGTCAATAAACGACCAATGAGTGAAAGTATAAAATAGCTCTAACCTTTTAACGGAAACAAATATAAATCAGTAATGATATTTTTCAGGCAAAATTATCCAGAACTAAAATTAGGGAAACAGAAAATAATGCGAAACAAATCTTATAAGAAGGAAGTGTAACTTGACAATGCTGTACTCCTTTGCACCTGATGCTTCTTGTGGTATCAGTTTCTTATACCTCAGTGTGATTATGGAAAGTAAAACAGATACAAACATTAGTTTTATTTTGCGGAAATGATCCAAGTTAAATCCTGCGTTATTTCTGAGTGGATCATCTGCACAAATCAATGCATTTCCATCAACCCACAGAGGTCACCACGAGAAACAGTGCAGTTTGGGTCAGGTCTGGAAGATTAGGCGCATCTCGTTTAGTTTGAAAGGCAAATGCAAGCAGATCAATACAGTTAATCAAGAAATCTCACCAAGTAAATCGCGTGGCTGGCGTCCGTCTTAGCGGCTGTAAACATCAAATAAACATAAATGTCACAAGTTATCCGCGTTTTGCTATTGATAACGGACCGATTTACAAGGGAGAAAGTTGTAGATGAGTTCTTTTTTTTAAGATTTAGAAATGCAGTGAACTATATGAAAGCTCGATTCAGGTTCACAGCTTTAGAGGTCGGACTCTCCATCCCAGCAATGTAGAGCGCGTTTTTCCTTCCTCCCGTTTGATTGTTAGTTCTGTTTCACACACTTTGTGCCTCTACAGATGGGGAAGAATATGTGGTTAACGCAAAACACTTTTTTTTGACAGATATCTCATTTCATATACATCTCTGATAACATTGTGCTGTTGCTTTGCAAATAGTAATTTGCGCTCGAAATATCCCACATAGTAGCTACAATTCACTGGGAATGGCTAATTCACGTTTCATTGGATTACTTCCTCTCACTGATAGTGTGCTATGCAACGAGTCCTGTTTAATTTGATAGATTTATAATAATAATCCTTGCATTTGATATAGCGCTTTTCATGTCTTCTAGACATCTCAAAGCGCTTCACAGAATATGCTGTAAAGGTAAATTGACTATATTTTGTGGGTGAAATGCAGCAGCCAATTGCACACAGCAGTGTACCACAAACAGTTGTGGAATGAAGTGACCCATTTTATTTATTTTAAACACGGTGCTTTAGCTCCAGACATTCAAGTTGATTATATATTTTTTAAAAAATCCAATTTGAGTGAATTGACACTTCATTATATATATATATATATACACACACACACACACACAGAGTACTAATAAGACTATTTACATCTAATGTAATAAAGCAGATCAAGTGAAATGGTAATATGTATCACTGTGTGGAATTCAGACAACACATTGATTCTTCCAAGGATAATATCTCCAATAGAGTAGTTGGTATCTCTACTAATCTGAGGTCCTCCTTGCATGCATCTCTGTGAAACAAAGTTGTCACCACATTCAGATCTGGACCCACATATTATTGAAAACAGAGGAACATTTTGGTTCACAGGAGCAAAAAAGCAATAGATCAACTGGGTCTGATTGAAGATTTGGACAAACAATGCAACCTTCTGCTAAGGGGAGATGGGAAGTAAATAGATTCATTCATATCATGTTCTGGTACCCAACATTGCAAGATACAAATTTGAAAGGATCAACATACTAAAATGACCATTACAAGAATATTTTTTTCTCTCCCTGCACACTATATTACAAGTGTGAAGGTAACTCACTGATCTTGCAAACCTGAGAAATCTTAGTTGTTCCACAGTTCCAGGTGGATTCAATTTGCACATTTTGTGATGGTTTACATTGTTTAAATGCTCCTCGGTGACCCCAGGTTACCTTTCCGAGTCAAGTAAAATGCCTCGACAAAAGATGATTCAGACCAGATATTTTATTTGTTGCACATTTAACACAAAAAAGATAGTTAATGTAATTTCAGAGGAGCAGAAATTCCATCATTTGAGCAGCAATTTATGCCCTTACATGAGTTTTAAGAACCTGTACTGGAACTCTTTTTAAAAAATAGCCTCAATGGTGTGAAAAAGTATATACATTTGCCATTAAGCATGTTAAAACAATGAAAGCTTAAACTTTAATATACTTAAGACAACAGCTTACAAAGATTAAGTTATCTAGTAACATTTTATACAATCTGGGTTGGGAAGTCTTGAAAGAATGAAGTACACAAAAGATAGAACAATATTTGAAAATAAAACGCTTGAAATTATTCAGAAGGCAGTATTTAAATCTCCACTGTTGACTCAGTTGGTAAAGACACTTCCTACAGTAAAATGTCAATTTTAACCTTGCGTGGTCAGCAGATTTCAGCTATGGCAGCTATAGGGTTTGCAACAATGACCTCATTTTGAAGACAAAAACAAACACCAGGAATAATCTTTGATGAATATAATGATTCCAGTCAGAAACTACATGTCCGCGTGGAGTGTTGAAGTCTGAATTAGGCTCTGTTGTGAAGCCCCACCCCAATCAAACAGTCTGCTGACAAGTCACTGTTTAGTCAGTGAACAAGGTATCACAGGGCACCTGTGGGACTATGCAAGCCTTTGTTAGCCCCCCCCCCCCCCCCCAGAAAGAAGAAAAGAAACCAGTGCTTACATTTTTAGGACAGAATGAAATATTGAGACAGTGAAAAATAAAGTACATAGACAGGGATACCCTAGAGCTTAAACTGATCTAGAAAAAACAGTCACAATTACAATGTTAGTTCTGAATTCTAAGAGGTAATTTTGATTTTGATGATGAGAGAACCAGGCTGTCCACCAATGACTTTACTTTGTCAATGTTGAGGTTCGTCTTGTTTTCTTTGTCCTTTCTGTTGCCTTTCTTGTGCTAAAAATGTAAAACAATAGTGAATAAATACTACATTATCAGCAAAAAATCAATTAAGAGAAACTGGTTTGCAAGATACTTTTTATGAAATTCACCACTGTACAAATTCCATCACAGGAAAACAAGGTTTCAGTTTAATGCAAACTTTGATAGTATTTCAGTCCGTTGTTGGTTTTGTTGCAAGACGCAGAAGCATCTAATAAACTTTTGAAATAACCTGCTTCAGACTCACGGAAAGATGGGCATTTGGCAAGGTACCTATGAATCATAGCATCTTCAGGATGAGAGCAGGGGGGCTAAGGGAAAATAGTGAGAGGGGCAGAGCTTCTTCTACAAACATTATCGCAGTCTTAAGTATTTCAGACGAAGTAAAAATTACCATTAGGTTCCCTTATGTGGGTTCTCCTCCAGTGATCCCAAAGGAGGGCGTGAAAGTGATCGGATCAGTTAATAAGGTCACATTCTACATAGAATATTGTAAGTTTGTAGGTCGAGAAATTGTTCTCTTCTCTCCTTTTAAGCCTTCGATATCCATACAATAAATGAGTAACATGCCGTGGTACTGCACTATTGGGTTATTTTTACTCTAGGATTTCACTAATTCACACTTGTATTGCTCAGTTCATTTTACAAGTTAAGAATTTTTAAAAGGTTTACCTGAAAGAATGGGACACTGCCATCACCACAATACATATTGTTTGCCTCTTTCTCACTGATATTACTAGTAACACTGTCCCCGTCGATGCTCACTTGATCATCCTCTAGCAAGTCCTGATAAGCTTGAATCTGTATGAAACATATTATATTGTTACATCGCATGAAAGGCAAAAGTCAGCAAATCCCCCAAGAGAATAAAATTATCCACAAATATCTGAAACACTTAGCTACATTGATATTTAAGTGCAACATCTCATTCCCCCACCCCAAAGGGCAGCACATAATGGGTCTTTTTATGGAGGAATGCACTTTAGGAAGAGGGAATTGTATGGTTAGAAGTTCAGGCTACTTTGTTAACAACCATGCACAAAACAGACAACACAATTACGCATGACGTAATACAAACTACACTCAATTTTCTTTAAAGATGACTCTTCCGCCAATTTTTTTCCAAGAACCAGGACTCCTATGATATCTCGAACAAGTACCATTCTGCACATATGAACTCAGACACTGATTGTTTACAGGATTAGTCAGCTGTGGAGGGCATCAGAATTAAACTAATTATGTCCTCATCCAATGTCTACAAACAAAAACTCAGACAAACTTTCCAACAATAGTCACTGCATTGTGTTCTGAAGCAGGCCAAATGCCCACTCTCTTCCCCCACCACAGCCCAGCTCACAGTTACTAAGATAACTATAGCACCCAAGTTCAGATCAGTGTTTTGGTGTGTGGGACTCAGTACTATAGCAAGAGCCATCTTTACCCAGTGTAGATTTTTGCATAATTTGGAGTCCTGTAGCTCAGTGGTTAGAGCACTCGCTTTGCAAGCGAGAGATCTGAGTTCAATTCCAGGCAGGTCAGGGCGAAACCTTGGGCAAGTTTCCTTACTCCACACGCCTAATAATAATCCCTCCAAAAAACAATAATTAAATTGGTCATTTTCAATCTACGACTGTTTGTGGGACATTGCTGTGCGCAATTGGCTGCCGCGTTCGCCCACAAATACAGTCAATTCACTTTACAGTGTGTTCTGTGAAGCGCTTTGGGACGTCCTCCTGACGTGAAAAGCGCTATATCAAATGCAAGGATTATTATTATTATTATTATTATAATTTTGGTATTCATGAAATAGTTGTGCTGCTGATCAAGGCATCACACAATAAAAAGGTTTGTTTTCAATCACATTTACCTGTTCACTAACTGATTCTTCTTGGACAAATACATCAGTATTGAAAGTTATATGGGGTTCCTCCTTCTGCTGCTTTCTGAATTGATCAATCAAGTAGTCACGTGGTTCTGTTTTTTGGAGCACTTGGGAGTAGCTATAGTCTCTTCGCTTTGGAGTAGTTCCTGAAATCAAAAGTACAGCTATCAAAATTTGGGATAGAGAATTTTTATAGTACAGTATATCAAGCGAGAGACCTGGGTTTGATTCCCGGCAGGGCAAAATGTTGGGCAAGTTTCCTTACTCCACACGTTTCTGTTTACCTAGCAATAGGAACCCTGTTAGTCAATTGGCAGATTTTCCAGGGGTAATAATTCCTTCAAAAAATATTTTAAAAAATTGGTCACTTCAATGCACGATTGTTTGTGGGACACTGCTGTTCACAATTGGCTGCTGCATTTCGCCCACAAATTAGTCAATTCACTTTACAGTATATTCTGTGAAGCACTTGGGTACGTCTCAAAGACGTGGTAAGGCCCTATATCAAATGCAAGGATTATTATTATCCAAAGCAAACTCTACCCAATTTCACGTTTATTCTGGAGTATTTAAAAACAACAAATTCACTAAATATAAAGAACCACCAATGTTTATAGATTCAGTCAGCTCCCCCCATTTTTTGAAAGTATGCCTACAATTTATTTTCCACACATTATTAAAGAAGCAGTGCCATTGTTAGATGCAGCATCTAGCTTAATTGCTTGAATGGCACCTTTGTGAATTATTATTATACATCATGTACTTTATAGTCATTTTCTTTACTGATGAGGATGCTCTACCTGTGGGAACGTCTTCTTTCAGTTCTTCAGTTAGGAAGCAATTGACGTGTTTGAGCCCTGCTTGAGCTTGTTCACTTAATTTCTTTACCCGTAGGTTCATCTCCCCTTGATCACTGTTGACCTGTTCAAATAAACTGGACAGTGCACTTTCCTCGGCTTCATGATGTGTTTTTAGTTCTCTTTCAACCCCGATGACCAGTGAGTCACAACTCTTATTAAGATCCTAAACAAAAGAACAGATTAACATTTAAAGAGACATCAATGACATAAATCAGACCTACCTTTGAACTAATTTAATAGCATCTTAAATGAAACCTACTCAAAACATGCTGCATTGTTCACTGCAACTTTCCAGAATAGGGTTAGGATATAAAGATGTTTACAATCTTAATGAAAATTATGTTTGTTTAGGGCAGAAGAAGAAGGTGAAAAGACCATTGAAATTCAGGTAACATTTCATTGATTGCTGTGAAAAATAGATCTCACTCAATTTGATCCTAAAATATAATTTCCATTAAAATATATATTTTTAAAAGTGCAAATGTGAATTGGAAACCCCACAAAAATTTACAACTTATAATTGTTATTACTTGTGTTTCTAATTCCAGATGTTTTCTGAGATGATCAAAAGTGATATTGTACATATATCAAAGAGTTTACAAAAATAATTAATTTGTTTAACAAGTTTATTCCCAATTATTATTATTAGATGAAGAGATACTAAACAAAGCATCTACTAGATCAAAATCAATTATTACTCCGCCAGTCACAATGCCAGCACGACTCTGTGTTAGAATCAGTTACTTATCCACATTGATACTGTTGCACTGAAGATTAATTAGAAAATCTACTTAACCAGAAACAACAGCCAATATTTGAAGTTTTGGGGGAGACTGACCACACCACCAAAGTAGAGCTGTTATTTTCTCCCCCCTCCCCACCTCTAAAAGAGTGAAACATCCTGCAACTAAATGGAATAATTGAGTTGATTAACTATCGTAGAAAGTGACCAGTTCCCTTTCATAGGCAAGACAGACCAAGAATGCAACAAGGCTGGTTATGAACCCTTACCTGCTCAAAGTCCTGAAGCCTTCTCTTGCCATTTACAAGAAACGACATCTGTTCTTGCCTGAAGGACTCAATGACGTCACTTGTAGAATCACACCAATGGAGACTCTTCTGGCAAAGTACCTGCATACTGGAACTGAGCTTCTCACACTGAACGTTTGACTGGTCTACAGTCTTTAACCCATCACTGAATATTTGCTCAATTTCATTTGCATAGCTCTCTGCAGAGTTGATAAATTTGCCCTGGTGAGAAGCTGTACTTTCTATAGCTTTTGCAGATTGCCTGGAAGATAAACAAACTCACATGAAAACCCTGTATTTGGTACCACAAGCAATCCTATTTTAGAACCATAGATATTTATGGCAAGAAGAAGGCCATTTGTCCCATCGTGTCTGTGTCAGCTCCCTCAAGAACAATCCTTTCAATCCTGTAGCTCAGTGGTTCGAACACTCGCTTTGTAAGCAAGACACCTGGGTTCCATTCCCGGCAGGGTGAAAACTTGGGCAAGTTTCCTTACTCTACACGTTTGATAATAATCTCTCAAAAAAAATTGATCATTTCAATCCACGACTGTTTGTGGGACGCTGCAATGCACAATTGGCTGCTGCATTTCGCCCACAAATACAGTAAATTCACTTTACGTCTATTCTGTGAAGCACTTTGAGACATCTAGAAGACATGAAAGGCACTATATCAAATGCAAGGATTATTATTATTAACCTGCCTTTTCCCCATACCCCTGTAACTGACTCTTTTTAAAGTATTTAAGGTTAATTTGGAAATTGCAGCAAGTATGATCGAAAATGAAGTACAAAATATGAAAATGCAGTTACTTACAGCTGCACATTATCCTGGAGCGTAGCTATCGAGTTGTATATATTTTCATTTCGTGTTTGAACACAACTAAAGTTCTTCTGCGTTTGCTGAGTTAACAAAGCAAGCTGGCTCTGTAGACTGGAAATTATACTGGAAACACCCTGTATCCAAAAAAGTTGGAAATGTTATTGAATTCAGACAAAAAAATTGAAGTGGAAATAAGCGTTTAAAGCTCTCAAATTCAAAACCGACCTGGATTTGGTCCTGCTGAGCTTTCTGAAGCTCTTGATTCATCTTTTGATTTTGCTCCTGAATGACACCCAAAGCATCACATGTGGTTTCCCGTAGTTTGCTCAGCATCTCACTTTGCTCTCCAAAGAATTCGTTCATGTCATCTTTCATAGTTATCATCTGAAACAATTTAAACATCAACAGTTCAGGCAAAACGTATACATACCAGGATTAGGACCCACAACCAGCGCAGTTCTTTTCGAACAATCAATTGTATTTTTTAAAAAAAGTGGTGTAAAGCAAGATTGTTATATTATGATCCTGGCATATAAGAAATATTCAGATTTACAGAACATTCATTTTCATAATTGCTTATAATCAGAGATGTCTTTGAAATGGGTTTGCCATTTCCAACATTTATTAAAACTAAGGGCAGTAGCTGCAAAGCAACTTACACAAATTTAGCATAGTCATTGGACAGCTATGCAAGAATAAAAACATCAGTAACCTTTGTGACTAAGCCACAGTGGCTCTGCAACGTGAGTTTTAGAGACTTGTTCAATTCAAAGACAGAGGCGACGAGAGGAAGCAAGTTCTTCTTAAGAGCTTTTTCCATTTCCACTTTGTGTTCCTCCTGAAAATAAAAAAATAAATCAATATAGCTCCTCAAGACTGTCAAAAAGGCCAATTAACTCCCCATCCCACATTAAATTAAACATGAACTCAGGATATAATGTATGCAAATCCAAACTCTACAATGAGGGATTACCAGTTTGCAACACTTGTTCACTCTGTGAAATGGCTTCATCAGGTAAAGGATAGTTAAAGTTCAGTCACTGCTGAACAATCAGAAACTGGACTCCTTCCTCAAAGAACCAGATCACCTATGTTCCAATAGTTTGATCGGTTTCCAACTCTGAGACAACATTACACATTAAAAGTTTCAGTAGAATAAGTGCAGAATTGTGTGCTCAAAAAACTATTTTTAGTAACTTATCCAGAAAATGGGGAAAAGGAATTTTATTTATTTACAGCATTGATAGGTAAACAATGCATGCCTAACCTTATGGAAAATGTGTGGGTGTGTCGGCAGAAATTCATAGTTTTAGAGAGAGAAACAATGACTAAATGTAGTCACTTCATTGCCGACATGGCTGGTCAGGTCAATTAAAAGAACCAATTGCTCCACTCAGTGATGAACACAGAGCCCTACTGACAGAAAGAGCTCCCAAATTCATTGCCTCCTGAAGTCCAAACAAGAGTTAAATGCTTATACAAATAGAGAATACAATCATGACTATTGTATTATCACAAGTCGAATAGTACGGGATTAGCCCACCCACCCAAGGGACAACAAACATTTGTAGTTCACCCAGCATCTCTTTACCTGCTAGGTAATAGCTTTGTTCCACAATACTCAACGTTAATAGTTAATGAACAGACCTATGCATGCAAGTACATTTTAAAAGCAAACATCTTAATGGCACGGTAATTAGAACCACCATAAAAGGTACTGTCCAGTTCTGCTTCATACGACAAAAGAGAAAGAAGGAACACAAGAATATGGAGGTTTTCTCCACAATTACATTTTTAGCATTGACCCCAGATACAATTCTGCAAGACACTGCTCATAAATTAGTTAACAAATTTAAATCTGAATATATTGTAAGTATACAGGTGAACAAAGGTGACATTTCACAATTATTATAAAATCACATCTTTGTTTAGAGGATTTGAGACCAGGTAATATTCTCACAACATTAACTTTTGATTAGTGAGTTACAGAGGGATCCATTAAGAATTTTGACAGAAAACAAGCATTCTATTTCAAAGCTTATGAGAATCTAAACATTACTCATTTAGAAACCGTTCTGGTTATTAGAGACCTTCATCACAGGAAAAAGTACCAGCTGCTGAAAATAGTTACAGAAAACCTAGAAATTTCTAAACTGTATCAAATGTTCCTCGTTCAAAAGCAGGGCATATGCAGTTGGCCATTGGGGAGGCTTACCTTACCAAAGTGAAAGGTCAGTCTTGTACTGTTTAACCTGGACTATAAAATTATTCTCAAAACTAAATCTGAATTTTTCAGGACATGTCCCAATTACTCCCTGGGAACTTACCATGATCCTCTGTACTCCATTGACTGACTGCGCAGTTAGAGAATCCTGTTTGAGCATTTCGTGGAGACTTCGTGACACCTCTGAAGAAACGGTTTCCTTGATGGAGGCAAAAGAAGTGACCACCGTGGAAGTCATGGCACCAAATGCAGTAGCGTTTGAACTCAAGAGATCACCTGAAAGAAAGATGAGAGGCTTGCTTGGTTAAGAAATGTTGTCATAGAAGGATTTTTTTCAAAATAAGCAGTCAAGATGATCTTAGATCTCAATTATAGTGCATTTGGCGCACAAAATATACAGTCAATCCACTTTACAGCTTATTCTATGAAGCACTTTGAGATGTCTTGAAGACATGATAAGGCGCTACATCAAATGCAAGGATTATTATCATTACCACCATCTTCGTTCAAGTGCTTCACAAGACTTGTGCTATAACGTGGCACCACCAAACCTTTCCACTAGAGGCCATCAGTGATCAATGGAGATTCTCGTGTCTACCACCGCACCCGAGCACTTAGTGGAATATATTATATATTAACACGCCAATTCCGGGATTTCCATTTTACAGCCTAATTTCATGGACCTCACACAAATCTATAGATCGACACGAAATTAAATAACCTTTGATAAGTAGAAGGGAAATAAAACGCAGTTGGTTAATGCAGCTTGGTGTCAGGTGACACTGAAAGAACACCACTAGGATGTGCAGCACGATATAATCCAAGCAATGCAAGAAGCTAAAATGGTGGTCATTTATTTTGAAGCTTTGGCATCCCACCATTGTTTGATAGGCAGAACAATCGGCAATTTAAAAGCTCTTGCTGCAATTGATAAACCAATCTTTTTTTAAAAAATCCTTTGCCATTTCCAAAATAAAAATCAATAAAAGATTCGATGCTATTTGTTGTCTGCTTGTTATCAAGCTGCAAAAGTCAGCATGCATTTGCCCACAAATTAGAGTCACGCCAGTTTACAGTACATCCTGTAAAGCACCTTGAGATGGTAAGGCACTATATCAAATGAAAGGATTATTATTACCTATGCTGATGTACGTAACATTTACTAATTGCAGAGAGAGAAAACAAAATCTAAGATACTGAATAATGTGAACATTCTGTTTTTATGTTATTGGTTCACTTGTCCAACATCCAAAGCCAACCCACCAACAGATTCGGTGTAGATGTCTAGCATTCCCTGCTGTTTTACATGGTGTTCATCCATTTTCTGCTGCATTTCATTGAACAGGTCATCCATCTTCTTCTCAAAGCTCTCCTGCACTTTGCAGTTGTGAAATTCAACAGTCTTCTTGCGGTCAAGCTTGGCATGGAGCCCAGATACATCTTTTGTGCTGTCTTGAACACTTTGCAGCAACTGAAACAAATGAACAATGAGCACATCATTTGGGCTTCGAACCAATGTAATCAAACTTTAATATAGCTTAGCATATCCAAACCATACAAACAAGGTTGAATTACTGGTTCATTCTGAGTTAGTTGATCTTAGTTTTCGAGGTTGACCTATTGAACTTTGACTGCGCTAAACAAGGGAGAAATGTCTCCAGATACTGATAACTGGGACACCTGCTGGAAAGTGCACAATATTAGGTGACAACAGGAGTGGGCTCAGCTTTGACACCCTCCATTGTCAATCACCTGTTCACATGCCCTGTCCAAGTTCATCCACAATCACTCAGGTTAGGGAAGAGAGGGCTGCCATGAAATAATGCCTGCAGAAATAACCAGCACTTTAAGAGACAAGAAAGTGGTTAAAAAAGGAACCAATGCTTCCGATCGAGGAGATGGCAGAAGCAGTTACTTATATTGATAAGAGAAGAAAACCATTCCTACCTCATTGGCAGTATCATAGAGGTTCTCCTCAGTTTGAACATGAGCAAGGAGTACAAATTGTTCCTCAGCTAGTTTATTTTTGGTAATCTCCAAGTCCTTCTCAGTCTCCTGAAGCACCTGCTCTTTGTTTTGCAGCTGGGTCACACATTCTTCAAACTCTTTTTTATTGTCCACAAATAACTCATTCACCTAGGAAAACAACAAAGAGAAATGGCGCACCATATGAGTCATGATCAAAGTATAAACTATTTTAATTTACACTTTAGCTATGGCTTTAAAAAGTCCACACACTTTCAACACAGTAAATACATAATAAACATAAATCATTCCATTCAATTGGCATTTGATTACATACTTCTCAAAATCCCAATGTATAATGTTTCTCGTGAGACACCTGCTTCCATAAAATGACAGGCACCAGTAACTTCAAATACAGATGTTTTGCACAAAAATGTCCTGTAGTTTTGAACTTAAGGAACCACAGAAACACGGAAGAAATATTTCCCTCAAACATTCAAAATGCTGTAATTTAAGAAAGTGTGTGTAGTTCCCAGTCATAGCCACTGCGTGTCTCTGTTGCGTCTTGAACGCATAATGGGTTGTGCATTGGTCACCAGACAAAAGGGAGCTTGATACGATTTCTGTTATAAGTGGGAAACATCATCATCAAAATCCAAGTTCATCTGTACTTTATTTGTTATGAGCTATTGGTGGTCAAGGCAGGATTCTCAAGCAACTTAAGAACATCCTCCAGAAATGAAAGACGCTATATAAATGTAAATTTGTATTGTATTTCAGTCAAAATGTTATTCCGACATTTGTTTTCTGGATTCTCAGTTCTGGAAGAGCAAAAGTGCAAAATTTGTATTCCTTCAGCTAATGGCGTGTACAAGGATGGTACTTCAGACATGGACAATTAGAAGAAGGGCCATGTGTAGAACTTAAACAACCTTACCCGTTTCAGCTCCTCCTCCACAACTGAAATCTTTTCCATGTAGTCAGAAATAAACTCTTCCTGTACAGTCAGTTTACTTTGCATAGCCCTAAAAGAAAACCCAGTTAATGTGTAATAGGATCACTCTACTCCAGAACAAACACCAGCTGTCCGAGATCAAATATTTAAACAGTGCCCGACTGCGCACATGCTCCATGAGATACATTACATAGTGTGGTAGCCAGAGATGTCGGAACACTTCGCTCCTACGCAGGCGGCAGCAAATTAGGATCATAGGCCTATTGTTACTCAATGTTGTTCGTTTCGGTGGCAGGGCAGGAGGGAAAAAATGAGGGGTGTGTAAAAAAAGTAAATCAAGCTGTATGGTTGAGAACAAAACATAGAACATCCTTCTCTGCGGAAGGCAGACTTTTGATAAGGTTTTGTTCCATGTGCACAACCAGCACTTTGTCACCTTTGCCTCTGTATTTTTCACTTGTATGTGAGCCTGAACAGGGAACAATGCCCATCATTCACACACGCACCTCCCAGGAAAATGGTTGGGATGGGAGATGGACGGGAAAAAAAAACTGGATAGTGATCAGAAACATAAAAAATAAATAATTTGGTCACTCAATCCACGACCGTTTGTGGGACACTGCTGTGCACAATTGGCTGTCACGTTTTGCCCACAAATATATAGTCAATTCATTTTACAGTACATTCTGTGAAGCACTTTGAGATGTCTTGAAGGCATATTAATGCGCTATATCAAATGTAAGATTATTAATATTATTCAACATGAACTGGCTGATTTATCCCCACTTCAACAGTAATGTCCTAAAATCCAAATTGATTGAGAATCAAATTACAGATTCTGGTCTACACAAGTTCACTCATTTACTTTATTGGAGGCCTTTGGAGGAGGCTGCTCTTTTCAATACACCATTCAGAGCCTACTAATCTTTGAGACTTTTTTTTGAAGTTTGAAAACATCATGCAGAAGTGCCCCATAGAAATAGTACTCTTTAAGGATCAGAGCGTCCATCTTCAATCAGACCTAGCCATTAAATAACCGGCTTAGGCAGTTCTTAGCCACATCCAGCCTTCCTGCCACACCCACTTAATGGCAATGAAACTAAATTAAAGGGCAAAATGAAACTTTGCATGGCTATACTTGGTACCAGTGAACACATATGAGAAAAGCGTACGGGGAGATGGAGAGGGTGGGGGCGAAGACACAACAATGCAAACACAAGCTGTATGATTTAAAGTTATAGCAGCCCATATTTTAAGTGTATTTTGAGCTTATTCACCATCAAGTTTTAAATGTAATTCTTTAAAGCAATATTTTACATTCCTTCCCCCAACCCTCTTCCCACTACAGCCATGTTGAGGTTCTTGCTGTTAGCCTGCCTAGCCCAGCAAACTCCTCATACTGGAATCAAGACCACATACAAAAACAGAAGTCGCTGGGAACACTCAGCAGGTCAGGCAGCATCTATGGAGAAAGGAAAGCGAGTCAACATTTCAGATCCACGACCCTTCGTCAGAACTGGAGGAGACCCACTTTGTCAGAACTTGGAAGACTCCAGCACTGACGAAGGGTCGTGGACCCGAAACGTTGACACACTTTCCTTTCTCCATAGATGCTGTCTGACCTGCTGAGTGTTCCCAACAACTTCTGTTTTTGTTTCAGATTTCCAGCACCTGCAGTATTTTGCAATTTGTTTTAAGGTTACAAACAGTTTGTTCAACAAGAGATATCAGTGGTATTTTAGATAGAAAGATTATAGCTTCTTCATCACACGGAATAAAAGGCAACTTATGTGAAAAAATTTAAAACTTAGTATTAGTTCAGTATTAAACAGCAGTATTAGTGCTGTCAAGAGTTGAAAGCAGCTTTATGTACTCCAAGAAGCTACTCTGTGTGAAGGGCACTATATAAATGCAAGTTTTTTTTGTAAGTTCTTTTGATGGAAACTTGTACTGCTATCCTGCGTACAAATACTTACTCATAGCTTTCGGCAGAAATGTACACTCCATTTTTCTCCCTTGCTGAAGCAAGATCCCTCTTGAGCCTTTCAATTTCTTCAGTGTACTCCTGGAATAAAAAAAATCCATAATTGTAGAACAGCAGTAAATATGCACAGTAGTTTGGTGGTGGTGAACTGGGGGGCGGGGGATTTTTTGTAAAATACTTTGTAAAATCAAACCATCTACATTATTTTGAATTCAAATACATTTACACCATGTCAGCTAATGTTTTCATACCATAACAAAGATTTGACAAATTTAGGGTCAATTCAGGCACAGAGTTTATGGTAAAGGCCCTAAAATAGCCTAAAGGCCCTACTGAAATTGACATAGTAGCACTGAGGAAGTTATGCATGACTTTGCTCTTCTGAATAGTTTTGTTTCCTTAAAATCATTTTCATTTCAATAAATTTCCATAATATTGTTTGACTTTTACAAATCTGCAACCAATACCCGCCCCCCACCCACCGGCTACACGCAGCACAGACTGCCGTTAGGTTTCCATGGGCTAATGATAGAAAAATCAAAACTAAATGGTTAAGAAAGTCTCCCACCCCCAAAACTAAATGGTTGAGAATGTCAACAGCCCTTGATTTTGGAAACTCTGGTAAAGAAGGGGGACAAAACTAAAACATTCAGTCTCCATACCATCTATTTTGCAGGCTATAACCTAAAGACATATACCGTTAAACAATTTATTGTCACTACTGATAAAATATTCACTTTTTGCCGTGGTTAGAATTTTCAAAACAAGGGAAACAGAATGCATTGCATACCCTCCCATCCTTAGTGCAAAGAGAAAAATTTCATTCAAATGGTGCTTTTAACCACATACCATCTATTTTGCAGGTTTACCCCAGTGAATCAATATTCTAGCCAAGCACAGAAGCTCAATTTGAAACAAAGCAACATGTTGAATACCTTAATCAGAGCCTTCTTGGTGAGCTTCTGGTTGACTTCAGGTTTGTTCATGATGTTCTTTGCCCGGCAAGCGTAATCCAGAGTGCTGAGAGTTTCCTGTAATTCAAAAGGAAGTTCTATCAAGTTGATGCAGTACTCGTCACCTGCATTTATACACAAATTTCAGACTAATTGGTCATCAATTAAACAACAACATTTTACACCAAAAAGGCATTACACAAATTCAAGTAGTTGCTGTCATTCTAATGGACAGCTCAACGTGCTAATTTGTACTAACCTCAACGTTTATAGAAGCAGGCGAAATCGTGGCGATGATGGAGGTTTTTGTGCGTCCGCCCAGGGAGTCCTGTAGAATTCTGGTCAGCTTCGATTCTCTGTTAGACAAGTAAAATCAAAAAAAATTTCAGAACTAATAAGAGAACCCACTATGTGGTCATTTTCTGACTGAATGTACAAGAATGAAATTAATACACTTTGAAAATCCACTTCATAACTTAAAGTTACCACTTGAATTAGCAAACATTACCTGCCAAAATTCACTTTATCCAGCTTAAAAATGTATTCCCCACAATTTCATTCCCAAACAGACCCTCTCAAACAAAAAATGTTAACCTGGACTTTACACACCAACTTTGTGCTGAATCAATATAAATACCTAAGAATGTTGATGATCAATCAATAGATCTGTTGAGTCAAAACCATAACTGAAACTGCATTTCATCGTCTTCCATCGTGCAAAGTTCTCACTCAAAAGCATGTGAAATACTTCAACACAGAGTACAACTACTGGCGTTTTAGAGGTCCTTACACTCGTATGAAAAGCCACATTCATTTCAGATACTGCAATTTAGTTTAATGGCACTTAAATGTGTCCAAAAAAATAGCTAAAAGAGCAAATGGCCCAGATCCATATTCCTGTACTAACTGTACTTTTACCTCTGTCATGTCAGGAATATTTATTAAGCTTACTTTAGTTTAGGCTTCAGATATAGGGATCCAATTTGAGACATTTGCGGACCAGTCTATATTTTTGCCAAATGTAACTCCTGGGCAAAGGTGTTCATGGCTGGCAAGTTAACTCACCTGTAAGGCACATGAGGGGTTCGCTCCACCAATGCAGTGATCACTCTGCCCAGGGTCAGCAGTGACTGGTTGATATTACCAGCTTCACGTGCTCTTTTATCGACAGCACCAGATCGTCCAATATTTTCACTTCCAGCCAGATCCACCTTTGCCGAATAAATGGAAAAAATGGAGATTAATCAGCGAAGCATGGAAATTCAATATGTATTTGGTTTGCTATATTAGGATATCCTGACTTTGTACACGACACTGAGACAAGTCCTGGACAGACATGAAACCGGATTGGGAGGGACTTTGACAGGAAGGAATGTAACTGGCAACATTGAGTTCCAGCCCCTTTAAGAGGAAGAGCAGATTGGGGATGGGACAAGAGCCAGTGAGTTTGAAGCTTGAAGTCAAGGGTTGAGAAGTAATAGCGGTTTGGAAACGGTCATTTCAATGGTTCAACTTACAGAAATATTGCATTTAAAATGGATAAAGGTTTATTAATGTCGAAAAATCTCAGTGAAATATTACACCCGAGAGTTAATGACAAGGTAAATATGTCCAGGAGCAGCACTACACCAGAAGATACATTAGCCTTAGTAAAACCTGGTTGTTAGTCGATTGGCAGATCATTTCTGTGAAGTGCTTTGAGACGTTTCAACAATGTGATAAGGCGCTATATCAAATGCAAGGATTATAGGATTATTATAAAACCCTACACTTACCAAATTCAGTTTGCCAATCTTCACTAGCTCCTCGCCATCAAGTGTTGTCTCCTTCATATGGATTGTAATGGAAAACACTGAATGGGAACGACTAGAATAAACCAGAAAAACATATTTAAGCACGATTGTACCAATTAGTAAATGTTCTAGCTAATGAAATCAAACATCAAACAAGTAAATGGCAAATAAAGCACAATTGGCAAGCTGTGGATGTTATAAACAAAACTTGTTGCACAATCTCAGATAAATAGAATGACCTCATTGTTTTAATTAACCCAACCCTATTCAGACCTTCCCAATCCTGAAGGTTCAGTTTCAGACCAGGCCATGTTCATATGCATAAACATATGATCCTGGCAATAACAAAACCAGTTTATGTTAAAGGATAACGAGGAAAGTCCCTTTGCAGGATGCCATGAAAAGTTTGCAGACAGTTTTTGTTTCATCAAGGCCTGGCTAAGATAGCTACAGAAGCTTTATGTCATAGAATGTCTTGCCACAACTCAAGACTGTGTCTTTGTACACGAGTGTATAGGAGGGAAGAAAAAGAAACAGACCAGGCTGATGGTGCCATATGGTGCCCCAGCATTCAAACTCCAAAATCAGCGTCAACAAATATAAAAATAGGTAACAGGAAGAATGCTTGTAGATTTTTTTAAATATAAATCGGATACGTGCTAAAGGGCTTAACCTCAGGTATCTCTTTAACATAATGCCTCAAGTCCACATTTTAATGCTACCGGTTCTTCAAATACGATTTGGCTGTACCTAGAGTATGCATTCATGAGAGTCGCAGCTGTTCTCCTCTTTGCCGCTCCTCTCTCCAGGATCTGGTAAACTTCATCTTTGTTATGGACAGAAATTTCTTCCAGGCCTTTGATTATCACACCCCTCTACCGTACCACAAGGAAAGAGAAAAATATTATTTCACCAAATCAGTTCTGAATTCTGGACCATTAAATGCTTCACTTTTCTGTAGTTTTTCCAAATAAATAATTACTAAATCAATGGAAGGTACCTTATTACGGGGGTCATCAAACATCTGCAGCCTCTCACTGACATCAGGGGAAGGGCTCAGAAGGTCAAAGAGCTCTTCATTATAGATTTCCAGTAAAGATACTTTCACAGAGAATTCTGTACCTTGTGCTGCAAGTTTCTCAAAGATCTGATGCAGTGTACGTGGGATAACACCTGCCAAAGGATCCTTAAAGAACACAAACAGAACAATGATGACATTTTATTAGCACGGTCTCCAATTTTGCAAATATTTAGGCAACAGCTCAAATCATGTTTAGTGGCAGAATCTTTTCAAGCTTGTCCTTAGGATAACACATGTTAATATTTGATATGAAAAATATCATGTTTCCAGATACTATTGGGATCAAAATTCAAGTCAATTGCTACAGTTCTCCCTCTTTTGTAATCCTGAATCCAAGGAACATTTGCAACAAAATCACACAAGATCAGCCGCACATCTCAACAGATTGCAATAAGAGTTTGATATCCTTTGGGCAAATTTACCATTAACCTAAAAGCTGGGAAGCTTTTAAGTAATTCTGCTGCCATTCATTTGCCTCTTGCTTCTTCTTTGATGCTACAAAGTAGAAGCAACCAGTCACCTGGAGGAAGAGAAACTCTGTTCTAAGACTGCTCCATTATTTGTCTCTCAATCTCTCGTAGTAAGTTACTCAAGTCTACTTGGCAACTAGATTGAAAGTGTTTGATGTCACAGTTCATCAGGCATAAACAAATGAATATCCTTTCCTGCTTTAAGAGCAGTTGCTCTCAGATTCCCACCTAATGAGAAAGAACCTCCACCGCCATCAATTTAATTAAATTTTCACTACACGTGTTCTTTCAGAGACACTTCCTTAATCCATTCTAAATTTGAATAGCAGTATGAATTATTGAAATCATACACCTCACCTTCAGATTGATGGGAGACCATTACATTTATTATATGACGGTTTTGCAAAACATTATCTTCAACTCGATTGGCAGGATTTAATCATAAGTGAATTCCCTCCCCCCTTACACAATTAACACCAGATTTTGGTATCGTATTGTGTAACCAATGGAAAGCATCATTCTGCTTGTTGAGTATTCTTCAAATAACATCCGCCGTAAAGACGATCCAGACTAGGAAATGGGTGGAATAATAAAAAAATGCTCCTTTAAGATGTTGGAATGTAAAGAATATTCGCACTCTATGCCACACATTTCCACGTCCCTTAAAAGTATGGCCCTGGCTAAAGTTATGAGATAGCTTTGAACAAAAATCCTCAGTAAACTTATTTTTATTTTGGGTCCAGCTAATGGGGAAATTATGAGACTGATTCTCTGTAACTCACCTCTTCCCAGGTATATTGCTCATTTTGTGATCTTTCACCTTCCATGGTGAAGGTTTTTCCTGAACCAGTTTGTCCATATCTGCATCAAGATCCAAGGGAAGATTTAATTTATGAAACTGTACATTCTGTGCTTAAAACAAAAACCCTACCTCAGTAAGAGTCCAAAAATGCTTTAATGGCAAAAATAAATTACACCGATATAAATCTTGCCCAGAAAAAGATTACGCCCTCTGGCTGGTTACATCATTCCCCTGTGAGAAAGTAGCAAGGATTTTAATGCTGCCAACATCTGCTTTTATCTGTGCCAAACAGGACAATGCAGCTTTGACCTTCAATTCATGGTGTGTAATTTTGCTGCATGATCTAATGGGAAGCAGATTAATTAATATTAAAAGATGAGTGTACTGCACTTCCTGTATAGGTTAGACCACTGGAAACCCTTGCTATAAAACAGACCCTCACTGAACCAGGATACCTTATAAAAGAATTACCCTGTATTAGCTGTGTGGATAAGATTCTTGATTTTCAAACTTTTACCAATTTATACACAAAAAATTGTAAATAATAGATTCCTGCCATAAGGTTTGGCGTATCCTAGCTGCAGAGATGTAGCATCTGTTGTTTATCACTTCTCCTTGTCTCCTCTCCAGAACACAAAAAAGATCCAAATCAAAACAAAGGAGGCAGAATAGTTAGCTGCACAAATTTCATCCCAAACAGGCTTTTGTGCCTTGTTATCATCTGATATGAAATAAAAAGTTATTAATTCCTAGCAAAATATATAAAACGCTCAATGAAAACTCAGAAAAGGTTACGAGCAAAATCACCATCAAGGATTACAGTGTCACACCCGGAAAAAAAAACTCCCAAGTGTTAAAAAGACCACAAGATCAAAGAGCAAACACGGGAAGTCTATGGGTTAAGAGATTTAACCTAATTTACCACATAACACTGAATCATATTCCAGCAGTTCAATTATTTTACATGAGCTCAGAGAAACCTGTAACGATTTCACTTGACAGTTCAGTACAGACTTGAAATGGTCAAAATTCAGCTTACGCAAAAATGGTGCAGTTATATCCCATTATTACTTCATCCAGGATGGGATACACAACACTTCTGTATACATCAATTTGCTTTGCAGACGGTCCGAACACCTTAAACGAAAAAAAGTGTAAATAAGGTTTGGGATAAGTTTTTGATCTTTACGTTTCTGGGGCCTATAGCACAATCACCTACCATGTCAAATGTGTATTTTTTGGCTCCTTTCTCACTCCCTGGACCTGAAGTCCGCACAGCCACTTCTTTTTTTACACTCTCACAGTCAATCACATTGTGAGAGTTTGCCTTGCGCTCTGATACATTGAAAGGCCTGTGGAAACCAATGCAAATGGTTTAATATTGCAACATTTGAATTAAGTCAAACCTCTTGGAATCGTAAGGAATTATGTATTTTAAAAAAGGAGCATTGAAATCAAAGATTAAATCATCATTTAGTTCTGTTATAGTCTGTAGCCAATGCATTGGTTGAGATGACAAGTGAAAGCAAATGATCAGAAACCTTACCGGGAACAACAACAACTTGCATTGATATAGGGCCCTTCACGCAGGGGTAGCGCTTAACAGTGATGCAGTCTGACCCCGAGCCAGGGCAAGAGGGAGGGGGCAAGGTGACCACAAGCATGATCAAAAAGCAAGATCTTTAGGCTTTATGTATTTGAAAGTGGGCAGGGAGCAAAGCAGAGGGATTGAGGGAGGGAGTTCCAGAGCTTTGGGGCGTAGTGGCTGAAAACACTGCCGCTGATGGTGGAGTGGGGAGGGCGAGGCACGAATAGGAGGCCGGAGCTGTCCAAATAAATACACATCATAAGATTTGTTAAACTTTAAAGTTCATGCACCTAGAATCTTACAGATAACATTGAGTCAGCTAGTAACATGAGGTAATACCCAGCTAGTAAAGTTAAGTAAGTTTCTTCCTTACCTGCATCGTACAACCACCTGTATATTCTTGCCCTTCTCTTCTCTTTTACTCGTATAACTATTTTGCATAGACATTTTCAATTTTCTTTACCAGGACACCTACATAAACAAAAAGTGTAGTAAACGTCAAACTTAATTCCATAGCAAAAGTATATTTTCTACATTTACACTTCTATATTCTCCATATAGTCCTGTAACTCAGTGGTTACACTCACCTCACAACGACAGCAAAATTACATTTGTATAGCGCCTTGCACCTCGAGAGGACCTCCCAAGGCGCTGATCAGAGTTACGGACCAGAGCTGAGGGTCGGGGTGGGGAAAGGTGGAGGCAGGGGGGGGTGGAAGCAGGGAGATCGAAAGCAGTGAGTTTGCGTAGTCGAGCCTTGATGTAATGAAGGCATGGATGAGGGTTTCGGCGGTTGCGGTGTGAGACAGTGTCAGAGACGGGCGAAGTTGTGGAGGTGGGGGACGGCAGAGCGGATCATGGCGCAGATGTGGGGTAGAAAGGATAGTTGAGTCAAACAAGACCCCAAGGTTCCAGATTGGCTTAGTAAGGTGGAATGTTCAACCATGGATGGCGATGCTGTCAGCGTCTGAGGTGAGGAGGCGATAACGGGAGCCAATCAGGAGAGTCTCAGTCTTGTTGGCGTTCAACTGAAGGATGTTAGTTCTCATCCAGGACTTGATATCTGACAGACATTCTGTCAGGACAGCAGTGGTCCTGGAGTCGAGGGTGGAAGCAGAGTTGGGTGTCATCTGCATACAGCTGGAAGTTGACCCCATAACTGCGGATGATGTCACCAAGAGGGAGCATATAGATACTGAAGAGGGGGGGACTAAGGCCAGAGCCCTGAGGAGCACTGCACGAGACGGTCCAGGGGCTAGAGGAGAAGCTGTTTGAGGAGATGAAGTGCAGGCGGTATGAGAGGTACGATCTGAACCAATAAAGGACAGCGCTGTGGAGGTTGAGGTGAGAGGCGGTGGATGAAGATAGAGTGGTCGACGGTGTCGAAAGCAGCAAAGAGTTCAAGGAGGATGAGGAGGTAGAGGGAGCCCTGGTCACAGATGGACAGAATGTAATTTGTCACTTTGACTAGGGTGGTTTCTGTGCTGTGGAGGGGTTCGAGAAGAGAGTGGCTGTAGAGGAAGGCGTGACCTTGGAGAGGAAGGGGAGGTTGGAGATGGGGTGGTAGTTAGGGAAGTTAGGGTAGTTAGAGAAGGGTACAAGGGAGGTTTTTTTTTGTTTTTTTAAGGATAGGAGTGATACAGCGTTTTTTTAAAGCGGTGGGAACAGTACCAGAGGACTGGGAGAGGTTAACAATGTTAGTGAGTAGAGGGACAAGGAAGTGGAGCTGGGGGGTAAAGAGGGGGGCAGGGATGGTGTCGAGGAAGCAGGTGGTGGGTTTCATATAGGTTATGGTAGTGATGAGAGAGGAGCGGGAGACAGGTTCCAATGTGGAGCGGGAAGGGTGGGTAGGGGCTGGGTGGGAGGGGGTAGCAGTTGCAGAGGCAGCAGAGCGGCTTCCCTCGACTTTGGATTTGAGGAAGGCCAGCATCGCCTCTCAGTTGGCATTTGAGGTGAGGATGGGTGAGGCGTGAGAGGGTGGACGGAGGAGCTGGTTTGTGATGGAGAAAAGGAGCTTGGGGTTGAGAAGCAATAACTCGCAAGCGAAAGACCTGGGTTTGATTCCCAGTAGGGCAAAATGTTGGGCAAATTTCCTTACTCCACATGCCTCTGTTTACCTAGCAGTAAGTAGGAATTGGTTGTTAGTCGATTGGCGGATTGCTTTTCCAAGAGTTGCGGAGTTCTGGATGATTAGCAGCTTGTGAAGGGAAGAGCTGGAAAACCAACAAAGGGGGGCTTGGCATAGTCTAATCTAGATGTGATAAACGCGTGGATAAGAGTTTTGGTGGACTAAGGGCAGAGCCAGGCGATGTTACAGATGTGGGGGAATGCAGGGTGGGTCATATAATAATCATTTGATATAGCGCCTTATCACGTCTTCGAGACATCTCAAAGCGCTTCACAGAATATACCGTAAAGTGAATTGACTGTATATTTTGTAAGCGAAATGCGGCAGACAATTGCACACTGTAGTGTCCCACAAACAGTAGTGGATTGAGTGACCAAATTATTTTTGAAAGAATTTTTGACACGAATGTAGGGTAGAAAAACCTTTTGTGATTTTTNAACCTAAAGATAACCAACTTTTGCCACTAAATAAAGTGATGCCACAGTAGTACCTCTCCCCAGACATAACGTGTACTTCAATCAGAATTTGGACACAAGGTCCAGGCTGACACTGTAGTGCAGATTTGGTTGAGGTGCAATCCTTCCAATGAAACTTTCAACCGAGAAGCCTAATCTGTATGTTTTAGAAGACACGAAAGATTTCACAACACTAATTAAAGCGAAGTTTCTCCCCATAACAAGGAATAAGCTGGGTCTATAATGGGATGTGGTCATGGATCAAATATCTATCTTTCTGATAGAAAATCAACATGAGCTAAAATTCACATATTATACACTAAAAAATTTTTTCAAATTCATTCAATTTACCCAGACATTTCAACAAAAGGAAAAATGCAATTTTAGAAAACAGAACAGTTTGGTTAACCAGCTTATTTAACCTGATGCAGGTTTACCACTTACAATACATGAGTACTGTAATAATAATAATAATAATCCTTGCATTTGATATAGCGCTTTTCACGTCGGGAGGACGTCCCAAAGCGCTTCACAGAACACACTGTAAAGTGAATTGACTGTATATTTGTGGGCGAACGCGACAGCCAATTGCGCACAGCAATGTCCCACAAACAGTCGTAGATTGAAAATGACCAATTTTTTTTTATTATTGTTTTTTTTGGTTTTTTTGGAGGGATTATTATTAGGCGTGTGGAGTAAGGAAACTTGCCCAAGGTTTCGCCCTGCCTGGAATTGAACTCAGGTCTCTCGCTTGCAAAGCGAGTGCTCTAACCACTGAGCTACAGAACTCCACTGTATATGCTGAACATACTAAAAGTAATAATAATAATAATCCTTGCATTTGATATAGCGCTTTTCACGTCGGGAGGACGTCCCAAAGCGCTTCACAGAACACTGTAAAGTGAATTGACTGTATATTTGTGGGTGAACGCGGCAGCCAATTGCGCACAGCAATGTCCCACAAACAGTCGTAGATTGAAAATGACCAATTTATTATTGTTTTTGGAGGGATTATTATTAGGCGTGTGGTTTTATTCCCATCCTAATGAAAAGGTACAATTGTTTTTATATAAAGGAAAACGTTTCTGTAATATTTTTAAAATACTGCAGCAGAAGGAAACTCTTTTTTAAATGCTGTTTTTAAATTATCTGCTGCTCAAGCACAACCCTGAGCTTCCAATTTCAACTCTCCCTCCCACTCTGACCTCTCCATCCACGGTCTCCTACACTGTTCCAATGAGCCACAACGCAAACTCGAAGAACAGCTCCTCATTTATCTACTAAGGGACCTTACAACCCTCTGGCCTCAATATTGATTTCAACAATTTCAGACCATAACAGCTCACATTCCCCCTCCCCCTCTTCTGTGACCATTACATTATCTTGGTCCCAGACACACCTTTTCACTCTCTGGTCTGCCTGTTTTGTTGCAATCCACCCCTTGTTCTGCAGTATAAACACCTCTATTCCCCTGCTTTGCTGCAATCCCCCCCCACCTTTGTTTTGCATCATTAACACCTCTCTAATTCATCATCCGCTGTCCTCTACCCCATTTTCTCTTCGTCTTCCTTGCCCTGCCTCCCCCCTTCTCTGTTAGCCCTTAAAAGCCTCTCCCTCTCAATATGCCCCAGTTATGACGAAGGGTCGTGGTCCCGAAACGTTGACTCACTTTCCTTTCTCCATAAATGCTGCCTGACCTGCTGAGTGTTCCCGGCGACTTCTGTTTTTGTTACCAAAGCAATTCCTTCTTCTCACAAGAATATTGCCTGCATCACCAAGATACCACCACATTTGAGCCAACGCGTATTTCTCGAATCACGTGCATGAAATTGAACTCACCAAAAGCACGGGAGGGTTCATCCGGTAACGTCGGACACTTGTGTGGAAAAATACCGTTTGCGCCTCCTCCGCGGCACGTCAACGCAACCGATTAAACAAAAGCACCGAAAAGCCGCGGCTCTCCTTCGGTCAGTCCCTGTTCTCGGTCTCACAGATCATTTAAAAGTCGCGCTTCCGGACGCTTCAACCAATCAGACTGAACGACTGTTGCAACCACGGCTGTGATTGGTCCGTGCGCTCAGCCTGGCCGCGGTGCACGCCGGGCGCGATGGAGTCGCCCTGGGTTGTTGATGGGAAGCGGGCATAGAAGCTGCCATGTTGGTGAGGGAAACTCCAGTGGGTGGGTGGGGGGGGTCACCTTTCTTGTCTGAGACGTGCAGAAGCCCAGCGCCAAGTTTAAGAGTAATCCAGACCGAACTCAGAGTGCCATACATCCCACGCACTCAGCGTTTTCTTTTCGCCCTTTCACCTGTAAATTCTGCAAAAAAAAACAACCCAAATAGATCCTGCAAGTTAACAACAACAACAAGATTCCATTTAAAGAGCGCCTTTCACGTCGGGAGGACGTCCCAAGGCGCCGGACAGTTGGGTCGGGACCCGAGCATAGGGGGAAATGGTCAGGGTGAGGGGAGGGAAGGGAGGGAGCGAGGAGGGAAGGGAGGGAGCGAGGAGGGAAGGGAGGGAGCGAGGAGGGAAGGGAGGGAGCGAGGAGGGGTAGAGAGTCGAGGGGAGCTGAAGGCACGGTTGAAGAGAATCTACTCAATCTACAACTGTGTGTGGGACACTGCTGCGTGCGATTGGCTGCCACGTTTTGCCCACAAAACACACAGTCACTACTCGTTACAGTGTATCCTGTGAAGCGCTTTGAAACGTCTCGAAGACGTGATAAAGCGCTATATCAAATGCAAGGATTATTATTATTATCGGAAATTCCCGTGTTCGTAGGATCATAGAAGGAGGCCATTCGGCCCATTGTGTCTGTGCCGCCTTTCCAAATCAATCCCACTCCCCGGTTCTCTCCCCATAGCCCTTCTGGGTGGTAGCAGTGGCAGTTCTAAATCCAGGCAAACACTCCAATACAATACATGGGGCCATTGGCAGCATTGTTGGAGGTGCTGCCCTCCCCATGAGATGTTAAACTTAAATCATTTCAAATGATGGGACCCGTTGGTACTGCATTGGAGCGCCAGCCCAGAAAGTGAGCTTTTCTTCAATGAGTCCCATCATTCTGAGCTCTCCCATATTTGCCTGTAGCGTGCGGCAAACATTAATGTTAAAATTACATTCTGGCACATGTCCTGGAATGCGCTTCACAACACGTATCCTTCTGCCTGCGTATCTGTAACTTAATGGAGTTAAGTCCTGTAGCTCAATGGTTAGAGCACTCGCTTTGCAAGCGAGAGACCTGAGTTCAATTCCAGACAGAGGGCGAAACCTTGGGCAAGTTTCCTTACTCCACACAGAGCCTAATAATAATCCCTCCAAAACCAAAAAACAATAATAAATTGGTCATTTTCAATCCACGACTGTTTGTGGGACATTGCTGTGCGCAATTGGCTGCCGCGTTCGCCCACAAATATACAGTCAATTCACTTTGCAGTGTGTTCTGTGAAGCGCTTTGGGACGTCCTCCCGACGTGAAAAACGCTATATCAAATGCAAGGATTATTATTACTATTATTAATGGTGAGCGCGCTCGCCTCACAAGCTCGAGGACCTGGGCAGGGCAAAACGTTGGGCAAGTTTCCTTATTCCACAAGCCTGCGTTTACCTATCAGTAAGCAGGAAACCCGCTTAGTCGATTGGGGGGGTAAAAAAAAATCCCTTCCAGCAAATAAATAACAATTTAGTCGCTCAATCCGTGACCGTTTGGCGGGTCACCGCTGTGCGCACATTGGCTGCCAAGTGTCGCCCACCGTCCCCGGCCCTCCCCGGCCCGGGCGTCAGACTCGGGGACCGTCAAGCGCTCCGGAATCCGAGCGCGAATCGTTGCGGTCGTGACTGTTTTGGAAACTCTTCTTCCTGCAAGTGGGGTGGGTGGGTGAGTGGGAGAGAGAGAGAGAGAGAGAGGGGGTAATGCTCTCTGGGTGTGGACTGAGGAGGGGGATTATTTACCAGCTGTGAGGGGAGGTGGAGGAGAGCTGTGTGTGAGGTGATGAGAGCGCAGGGCATGTGTACGCCTGCGCCGGTGCTGTTTCGCCGTCAGCTGCTCCAGGGACACGGGGCGGGTGATGTGAAAGACAGGATCCCTCGCTCCCCCCCACCACCCCCACTCCACCCCCGCTCTCGGCAGTCCGTCCCTCCCTCTCTCTCTCTCTCCCTCCCTCTCTCTCCCTCCTCCTTCCTTCCCTCCCTCTCTCGGTGTGAAGACAGTGAATTGGCCGCGGGGGCTGCAGGAGGTGAGGGGCGGGGAGGGGTGGGCACTCGAGGGTGGGTGTGTGGGTGTGTGTGTGTGGGGTGGGAGAGCATCGCGGCTGTACTCTCACCGCGAGGCCTGAACATGGCGGCGCTGTGAGCTCGGGGAGGGGAGGCTCGGGGAGGATAGGCTCGGGGAGGCCCGGCCCGGGGAGGGGAGGCTCGGGGAGGCCCGGGGAGGGGAGGGTCGGCTCGGGGAGGCCCGGGGGAGGGGAGGGTCGGCTCGGGGAGGCCCGGGGAGGGGAGGCTCGGGGAGGGGAGGCCCGGGGAGAGGAGGCCCGGCTCGGGGAGGGGAGGGGCGCCAGGAAGAATGCCAAACGTCGGCCGCTTCGTGCAGCTCCTGAGCCAGGCCCTGACCCGGGGAGAACGCCAGTAAGTGCGAGCCCGAGGGCCCCGGGACCGCGTCTCTGAATCGGCGGTTGGTCGTTCGTGGGCGTCGTGGCCTCCCGGCGGCTGGAGGTCACGGGGAGCACCAACGTGAGCTGGGCCCTGGCCTTGGAACTCACCCCCCGCGGCCCCCAGGGCCTGTGGCCGGACACACGGGGACAGAGCCCCGGCCTCACAGTAGCCGGACTGGCCCGTGTGTGTGTGTGGTGGGGGGGGGGTGGGGGGGGCTCTCAGCCATGGCGGGTCTCCCTCACTAACCACACACGTGTGAAGGTTGTAATGAGGCCGAAGCTTTGGCTGTTTCTCCGCTGCAGACAGAGAGAGAGAGAGGGGTGGGGGGGTGCTGTGTGGGGGGTCTGTGGGGTGGGGGGTCTGGGGGGGGGGTCTGTGGGGGTGGGTGTCTGTGTGGGGGGGTGGGGGTGGGTGTGTGTGGGGGGGGTCTGTGGGTGTGGGTGGGGGGGTCTGTGTGGGTGGGGGAGATCTGTGGGTGGGGTGGTCTGTGGGTGGGTGTCTGTGTGGGGGGGGTGGGGGGGTCTGTGGGTGTGTGTGTGTGTGGGTGGGTGGGGGGTCTGTGGGTGGGTGGTCTGTGGGGGGGGTGGGTGTCTGTGTGGGGGGGGGTCTGTGGGTGGGTGGGTGGGGGGGGTCTGTGTGTGTGGGTGGGGGGGAGATTTTATCCCCACTCTTGACTGTGCGCAGCAAACCAGCTGACTGCTGTTGAGCGACACTTAAACCCTTTACACTCTTAAACACTCTTAAATCGTTCGGTCTTTTTTTTTATTTCCACCTGCATTTATTTTCTGCGGTTTATTTACTGGAGACATTCAGCCACCCGCTGCCCGGCCTCTGGGGAGGGGGGTGTGCAGGCAGCAGGACTTTGATTCACCTGCTCGCTGCTGCCCTGTGAAGCCGGCAGGTGTAAATCTCTTACTGTCCCAGGACCAAATGGGTCTCTTTCCGCACCCCTGTTGTTGTTGTTTTTTTTTAAAAAACAATGAAGCAGTTTAATAATTTTGTGGAGTCCTGTAGCTCAGTGGTTAGAGCACTCGCTTTGCAAGCGAGAGACCTGAGCTCAGTTCCGGGCAGGTCAGGGCCAAACCTTGGGCAAGTTTCCTTACTCCACACAGAGCCTAATAATAATCCCTCCAAAAACCCCAAACAATAATAAATTGGTCGTTTTCAATCCACGACTGTTTGTGGGACACTGCTCCGCGCAATTGGCTGCCGCGTTCGCCCACAAATATACAGTCAATTCACTTTGCAGTGTGTTCTGTGAAGCGCTTTGGGACGTCCTCCCGACGTGAAAAGCACTATATCAAATGCAAGGATTATTATTATTATTTAACTCGGGCTTATTAATAGCCTTCAGGTTTGAAAATTGAGATTTCGAAAAAGAGGCCTTATGGAAAATTATCTAAGATACGTAACAGAATACGGAAATTATTGTGTAAGAATATTTTCAGTTCTGTAAGGCTGCAGAACAAGATAAACTTGCTCTGGATTATTATTAAGACTGGCAACATAAAGCATTTCAATATTACCATCATAGTCAAGAATGGTTTAGCCCTTTCGGACGTCCTGATGTGAAAGGCACAAATAAGTGTTCATGGTATTTAATCAAAGGATCAAATACTCTACCAAAATGCCTAGTTGATACCTAGTTGACACTGTTAGAAGCTATTAATGTTGTTTGGTCTGATATTTCTTCAACACTAACAGAATTAAAATTATAGCATTTTGGGTTAATGATGTATAATGTATAATTATGGGAAAAGAACTGTGCTTCAATGACTCATTTAGACAATTTTATTGTAATACTTGTAGATAAAATAGTCATAAAAAATGTCCATTCACTGAATGGTTGCATGTGAGAGAGTGTGTGCAAATTAGCTACCATTTTTGCTTAGAACTACAACAAGATTTCATTTATAGAGCGCCTTTCACGTCGGGAGGACGTCCCAAGGCGCTGGACAGTTGGGTCGGGACCCGAGCCGGGGGGAAATGGTCAGGGTGAGGGAAGGGAGGGAGTGAGGAAGGGGGTAGAGAGTCGAGAGGGGAGCTGAAGGCACGGTTGAAGAGAACTAGTCACTGCACTTCACATGTAAATCATGTGATGGATGTGCTTTGAGATATTGACAGTGCAATAAGATTCTTTTATCAAATGCAAGGATTATTATTTCCTTTTCAGGGTAAAAACAAATACCAGTAATCTGTCTGTATGTTGACTTTGTGATGCCATTTGTCTTAAGAATATGGTCTGGTAATTAATGTACTCTATTTGCAGCCTGCAGCCAGCAAGAGGCTTGAGAATGAATAATCCAGCAATTGTGAGAACCGTGCCCAATATTATTAAGTCTCCTGAGGACAAGCGTGAATATTGTGGATTGGAATTTGCAAATGGGATCAATGCATTACTAATCCATGACCCTACCACTGACAAATCATCTGCTGCCCTGGATGTTCACATTGGTATTAAGCATTCAATATCATACCTAAAGTTCAATTTAGTAGTAATAGTCGGCACAATGCTACTGTGCTAAATTTGAATACTTTCACTACGTCTACACTAACTTTCCTAATAACCTGTGAGGCAGTTATTACTGTTGTTTTAACAATTAACGCACTCAAAACTGTAGTTAAACTGATATTAATCATACACTTGCTGTTATACTCGTGATATTCCAGATTGGTTGTCACATTTTAGGAAAGAATTGTTTTCAATAAAATAATTAGTTAAAAGCTGGATATTGTACCTTTTGGCAATTGTCAGGATAGTAAAGGGGTTTGATGAAGTTGATGAAGGCAATTTGTTTCCCTATTGCACATTTTAAGTACAAATTAGTGGTGAAGACACATAGAACTTGAATCAAATGCTATGGATTAAAGAGCTTACTGGTCCCTAAAATTTGTCTGTTCTGATTTTTGTTTCTTTACAGGCTCATTGTCAGATCCAAAAGACATCCAAGGACTAGCCCACTTTTGTGAGCATATGCTTTTCTTGGGGACAGAAAAATACCCAAAGGAGAATGAGTACAGTCAGTTCCTTAGTGAACATGCAGGGAGCTCAAATGCATTCACTAGTGGCGAACATACCAACTACTATTTCGATGTATCGAATGAACACTTGGAGGGTGCCCTAGATCGGTAAATTCTGCATTGATACAGTAACGGTTTCTTGTGTTTTTACACCAATAGTCATAAATTTGTCTGTACCTGCCTGCAAGTTTTGAATCATTACTTCTGCCATACCTATCAGCTCTTGATAGATGTGTGTATATTTGCACATCATATTTTTTGTATTTACTTTATCATAACATAAAATGGCAAATTAGTTTTCCTTTCTTGTCTGGGATTTCCTGATCTCTTCACATGTTTATTTGGTTTTTCATAAAGAAATAAATTGCAACATTGAAAAAGGCCTGGGAAAAGAAAACTATTGTGAGAGATGATAGTCATTCGGCACCTGAGTCATGACAGGACTATAATCTATCATCTGTTAAATATTGTGTTGGTTAATCTGCAATGATGTTCCTTCTATTATTATTAGGCTCTGTGTGGAGTAAGGAAACTTGCCCAAGGTTTCGCCCTGACCTGCCTGGGAGAGACCTGAGTTCAATCCCAGGCAGGTCAGGGCGAAACCTTGGGCAATTTTCCTTACTCCACCCAGAGCCTTAATGATAATCCCTATAAAACCCAAAACAATAATAAATTGGTCATTTTCAATCCACGGCTGTTTGTGGGACATTGCTGTGCGCAATTGGCTGCCGCGTTTGCCCACAAATATACAGTCAATTCACTTTACAGTGTGTTCTGTGAAGCGCTTTGGGACGTCCTCCCGACGTGAAAAGCGCTATATCAAATGCAAGGATTATTATTATTATTATTCACTCCATAACAACTTTTTGTTTTTGCTAAGGTTTGCCCAGTTTTTCTTGTGTCCTTTGTTTGATGCCAACTGGAAAGATAGAGAGGTTAATGCTGTTGATTCAGAGCATGAGAAGAACATAATGAATGATGCTTGGAGACTGTTCCAGTTAGAGAAGTCTACAGGCAATCCAGAGCACCGATTTAGCACATTTGGAACAGGTCAGTATTCCACAGAGTCTTCCTGAACTGAACTTGGTGTTTGTAAAATGAAATTCTGTATCAAATTAGAATTGAACTGCTGTGTAAGAGAGAGTACATCTGAAATTGCAGGTAAACGAGAACCTTGCAGAAAGCTAATAAAGTTCTATTTGCCAAGTTCTCAGACACCAGCACCACGAACCATTGAAACAATCTTTGGTGCATTCAGTAATTGTTCAGCTGAGTATGTTGTTCTATAATAAATCCTGAAAGGATGATATGAAGGAACTGTTATTTTAATGCTGCTCCCGAGTGGGTAGCAAAATAGTAATGCATGTAGAGTTGTTAATTTGTAAACCTATTAATGTCACCTTTTAGAATTTCACATAATTTTGAAATCCCAAACCAGATGCTGAAGTGTAACTTCGGAACAAGCCGGTACTGAGTTTCACATCAGCCGTTAGTTAAAAATAAAGCATGGGAATTATAAATAATGAGCTAATTTGTCATGCTACCTGAAACTTACTCTTTATATTTTCAATAATAGGCAACAAGTTCACCTTGGAAACTAGGCCAGCAGAGATGGGCATTGATGTGCGACAAGAACTGCTTAAGTTCCACTCGTCTTACTATTCATCAAATCTGATGGCTCTCTGTGTCTTGGGGAGAGGCAAGTCCTGTATTTGATAAAGTTTGGGGAATATATAATTCTGAATTTTATCTGCAATGCCCGATCAAACCGAAGATGCATTTTGTTTTTCCTTGAAAATATGTTGAATTCCAAGCCATGATACTGGATTGTTGTATTTTTATGTCGCTATTGATAATTATTCAAATTTATACTTAAGCAGTCTAGTATTTCAAATTGGTGATCGCAAGTTCTGAACCCTAAAGTTGCAAGCTGACAATTTTGTTGTAACTTGAACATTTCTAACTTGGTTACTTTTGATGAATGTATTATTGGGACTCCAAGCAGATGTGAAAAATAAAGGTGTGTGATCAGGATGGAGTAGAGTGAGAGAAAGGATGTCTGGGGGTCAGTAATATCAATGAGGTGCCCCAATGGAAGTGAGAAGAAAACTTCAAAAACTCTATTATAATATTTAGTTCTGTTATGAATCCACTGAGATATTTTGATACTGGAATTCTTTGTTGCATTATAACTAATTTGTTACAGAGTGGGGGATTTTGACCTTTTTTTGTGGTTTATATTAAGCACAAGTAATTAGCAATAACAATGCCACTTACGTCATGGAATTAACCAGTGCAAAATCAATTTGAATTCAGTATTTTGAAATACGCTCATCTACCAATTGTTTCTCAAACATTTGGAACCTGTAAATCAATAACTTGGTGATTTGCTGGCAGCCTAATTCCAGTACCTTCAAGAGCAAATCAAAAGCATTAAATGCCTGCATATCCTATTTTCTGTAGGGAACGATAACTCTCTGGAGTCGTACATCAAGGACCAGGCTTCCAGATGTTAGAGAATGATTCTGAATTGTAAAATCTGGATGAGAAAATTGAACTACAGATAGCATGATCAAGTGTTTAGAAAGCAAGCAAAGGAGCTCTCCCGATGGCTCAGTTGGTAAGTTCACTCTCTAGTGTAGAACTGAGCCATACAGACCATGTTTAAGGTTTGCTCCATGGTCTGCCAATTAGCCGATCATAACCTCGGTGAAGTGGCGCCTCAACAGTTGAACACAGTCCAACTAGGCTAGAGAGGGGGAAGATCTGCCAAGCTTCACATTCCTAGCATTATCTAATGACCTGCTGGAAAGATGTGAGAAGCATAAAGCTCTGTTGTCATACCCCCTTGGGTTATTAGGCTACTAACACTCATAGTACAGACTCAAAGGAACAGTGATTATTATGGGCTAAGTTCTGGAAGGTAACTGGTGTTTGTGAAATCGTACTGCAGTTTGAGTCATCAACTCTGGGTGGGGAGCAAGTAATCAAAAACCAAAATCAACTGAATATTGAACTGAATCAATATCACATTTAAAATTGTATATTCTTATATTTGGCACTGTTTTAGGTTATGTAGTTTTGTTTGGAGTAATCTTTGAATAATTGTCTTTTTCAATAGCTGGTATACAGCAATTGTATCAAATAAATTGTGAATTCACGTAGGTAATTTGCGGTAAACGTATTTAACTAATGTGTATCATAGTCTACTGCCACGTGAGAAAGTTTTGAAGACATCTGTATCATCAAGGCAAGTTTCCTTACTCCACATGTCTGATAATAATCCCTCAAGAAAAAAAATAATAATTTGGTCACTCATTCCACGACTGTTTGTGGGATACTGCTGTGCGCAATTGGCTGCCGCATTTTGCCCCCAAATATACAGTCAATTCACTTCACAGTATATTCTGTGAAGCGCTTTGAGACATCTAGAAGGCATAAAAAGCACTATAACAAATGCAAGGATTATTATTTTATTATCGTCAAGCACAGCCAACAGTTTGGAAATCCTGTAGCATATACAATATCTGCTGTAAGCTCCCACAGCCACATTGGGCCAATTGATCTATACTGTAACATTCTAATTTTAGCTGTTCTCTTTAAAAATTTACTGAAGTGAGAAATGTGACATCAAAGCTTAAATTATTTCTTTAATTCCATTGGATATTGTACTTGCAGCCAGCATAGGAGGATAGAAATAAGTACACAATGGCAAAAAACAAGGGAGCTGTCGATTTTTTTATTGTCATAATATTTGGTTGAAACAGTAGTTTCAAGCAAGAGATTCGCAGGTGTGCAACCTGTGTACACACACAGCCTGAACTATTTCTATCCTTGACCTGTGTATCTTTCGACCTCATTGGACTCTCCTCTTGTACAGTGTTGCACCTTATGCACTCCCGTGACCAACCATTTAGAATAGGGAGTCGACATTAAACCATGCAACCAAGGCTGATCTGGTTCTTATGATGATTGTTGTGCGACTTATTGGAGTTTCATATTGTTTGCTGTCTGGTGGTGATTTATTGTTTTTCAAATGATCTGTTTGTTTTCAGAATCCCTGGATGAACTGACCGATATGGTAGTGAAGCTATTTGGAGGTGTGGTAAACAAAAGTCTACCTGTTACAGAATTCTTGGAATATCCTTTTCAGAAAGAACACCTTAAGGTAGTTATGTGAATAGTGGTTTTCCCCCTTCAGATTTTTGCCACTATGTTTTTATAATGAGAGAAGGAAGGGAGAAATATTTTTTTCAGAAACTTGCTGTCAGCAAGCTCCAGAATGTTTGATAACCGAGGACATCCTAAACTGGTGTCTTATTTTGACTTTGGAACTCCATCCCCCAGTGCCTTCGCCTTCTTTCCTCTTTCAAGGCCGGTCTCAAGACCTTTCTCTTCAACCGTGCCTTCACCTCCCCTCTCGACTCTCTACCCCCTCCTTGCTCCCTCCCTTCCCTCCCCTCACCCTGACCATTTCCCCCCTGCTCGGGTCCCGACCCAACTGGAAAGGCTCTGCAAGTGAGAGACCTGAGTTCAATTCCAGGCAGGGCGAAACCTTGGGCAAGTTTCCTTACTCCACACGCCTAATAATAGTCCCACCAAAAACAATAATTAAATTGTTTTCATTTTCAATCTACGACTGTTTGTGGGACATTGCTGTGCGCAATTGGCTGCCGCGTTCACCCACAAATATACAATCAATTCACTTTACAGTGTGTTCTGTGAAGCGCTTTGGGCCGTCCTCTGACGTGGAAAGCACTATATCAAATGCAAGGATTATTATTATTATAACTGTCCAGCGCCTTGGGACGTCCTCACAACGTGAAAAGCGCTCTATAAATGCAATCTTGTTGTTTTGTGAGGCTCAAAAACATGGCAACTAATTGATACCTGAATTTCTGTAAACCAAGTTTATAAAAGAAAGAAGCAATTGTACTGATACAATTTTCTTAATATGGAATGACATACTTACAAAAAGCACCATTGCTTTCTTGCCAGAATGACATTCTTAACAGAAAACATGTATAAAATAATTTGCTGTACACTGGTGTAGGAGTTCAGAGTGAGATATTAATCAGTAATGCTTTTGAGGGATATTAAGACAATCTGTCTGTTCCCTATATCTCTGCAGATTTGAATCTGGATTCAATTATAACACTGAGCTGCATACATCTGTATCAACTGAGAAATACTGTTTTTTTAATTCTCTATTATATTTATCAGGGGTTTAGCATGTGTTGCATATGTATCTACTTCATTCCTTTTTCTGCTCAGAGGTATAAAATTAATTGCTGCAGATTTGTACAGTATCAACAATACCCATCATAGCGCTTTTGATCAAAGTTATATGAAACAATATTCTGTAATAATATTTTATTAATATTTTCTGTTTATAATCTTGTTTTCTATTTTTCCCTAAAGATACTCTATTCTGATTCAGTGGTTGCCAGTTGACCTCCAGAAACAATTATTCATAACATTTACACTTGTTTTACAGCAACTGTATAAGGTGGTGCCCATCAAGGATATCAGAAATCTTTATGTCACTTTTCCTATACCGGACCTTCAGAAATATTACAAGTCAAATCCAGGTCACTATCTTGGCCATTTGATTGGTCATGAAGGTCCAGGGAGTCTTCTGTCAGAACTGAAAGCTAAAGGTAATAATTAAATAAAGGTTCATTTTTCATTTCCATAAAGTGAGTGCAATGTTACAAGCCCTTCAGTCAAGTAATTGAATAGGCGTAGGCAAGAGTCTCGATCATTTTTCGTCAAGGGTAGCTTTCTTGATGGGAAGGTGAGGTGAGAAAAAGAGAGATGTTTTCCCTTTTCTTGTTTCATTGTTGACCTCTTTTGAATTAAGATTATTAATGTTCTTGTTAAGATTATTATTTGCCTCTCCTGTTATGAAAACAAGCCTGACCTACACCATCAGTGAAGTTCTTTCACCTGAGTGTATAATGGATCGTTAAATGCTTCATTACTTTGGGAAAATGTTCAAAATGAATATGAATTAAATTGGAATTTTTTAATTATTTGTCAGGCTTTCTACCTTTGAACATTGGCATCCTTATTTTTGTCTTCTCTCCCCCTCCACAGTTTAAAAATGACTTTCTACCGTATTGTTATTTCTCTGCTTTTCCCTCATTTTTTCTTTCTGTGAAGCACATGCTAGATCAAGAACTTGTCATATGATATGCATTGGATAGAAACTCTATTTTACCAAAGCATGGAGCAATGTATTAATGTAGCAATGTGACATAGTATTTCGTTAACCTTTTAGTAGTTTCTAAACTTGAATTTTTTAAAAAAAATCCTCAAGTAATCTATTACAATTATCAAATTGTCTAATATGGAGGATAGCATCCTATAAAGTAATCTACACTACCATGCCTAAAGATTTATGAACCAGTTTCTGTATTCTTGTATTCTAGGCTGGGTAAATACACTTGTTGGAGGGCAAAAAGAAGGAGCCAAAGGCTTCATGTTTTTCATCATTAATGTGGACCTTACTGAGGAAGGACTTGGTACGTACATTTTACTCATTCCATGGACCATGATATTTATATCTATAATAACCAAGTGTTATTGTTTAAAAAATCGCAACTACTTTCTATGACTGCTTTCAGAAGTATAATGTGAGATTTCAGTAAAATCACATTTAAATTTATTACCTCAAATGTTTTAACCTATTTCAAAGGAAAGTGGGAGGATAATGTTGCGAATTTCATTTTGTCAATATTATAATTCTTGCATTTAGTATAATGCATTATCACATCAAAACATCATAGTTGTGTAGTTAGTTGACATGCTGCTCAACATGTCAAAGCAGTGCGAGGCATCAACAAATAAAGCAAAATGAGATTCTGGGCTACATTTGTTGAGTCCAGAACTCCAGTCATCCTCGAGCTGTATTGTGCTCTGGTCAACCTACACCTAGAGTATTGTGTACACTTTTGGTCGCCACAATACAAGAGGGTTTCCGAGGCCATAAAAGCAGTGCAGAGGTGAGCAAACTGGGATGCTCCATAGCATTAGAGGACTGATGCTTTTCTGTCTCAGAAGGCACCTTTTTAAATAGGATTCAGAAAGGAAGCCCAGAACAACACTTGGATGCATCAGTACAGCAATTGGTTTAACAACTGGTTTGGGTTGCAAAGGGCCATTTCAGAACAGACGCCAGAAAGTATTTACTTACCTAGAGAGTAATTATTGACTGGTTACCAGGAGTTGTTTGAGGCCTGAATGCTGGATTCATTTTTTTTAAAAAAAAGCTTGATGTTGTGATGGGAGGAAAGTAGAGTGGGTATTATGAGATCAATTGGGCCTTGTTCATTCATAGCTCTCTAGGCAAGTGCTTCAGAGATTTTCTGTAAAATGTACTGACTGTATTTGTAGGCAAATATGCAATCATCATTTAAAGCCTTGGAATATATTGTATTGCTAAAGATTACATAGATGGTGGATGTGTTATACATATGATAAAACAGACTGGAGGATGTTAAACTGCCTTTGGCTTGAGATGATCTAAAATGGTAAGAGTGAATCCTAGTTGTATATACTTCAGCCAAATTCTGTAACATTGAAATTCACTCAACCTATAACGCATGGTGTAATTTGTGGGGACATTTTGTACCTGCAGTAACACAAGTTGGCAAATTGACCAGTTCCTGTGAAGAAATAGTGATTTTGATTATTGTTTTTCTAAATGTTGGGTTTTACTTTATTAAATGTTGCAGGGAATTGATAAACAGGTGTACCTATATCAGCGCCTAGGGATGTCCTCCCGACATGAAAAGCACTATCCAAATGTAATTTCGTATTGTATCTACATATGTTATAAAACTCGAAACAGTTTGAGGATCTTTTCAACCAATATAATTGTATGTAATGCTTGCTTTCTTACCCTGGCTTTGCTTCATATAGTACACGTGGATGATATAATTCTTCACATGTTCCAGTACATCACTAAACTGCGTACAGAAGGGCCTCAGAAATGGATTTTTCTGGAGTGTAAGGTAATGAGGAAAGACAATTGGTTTAATAATTTAATTGCTTTGTAGTCCAGACAGACACTGGCTACACAAGTTGTGTGGAAATTAAATGGAAGGTGACATTTTTTTGGGTTCTTGAACAATAATTGATTATTATCTTACTGCTAAAGTGGGATTTTGTTTTGGTATCAAATCTTTGGATCAACAAATATCAAATGTATTTTTTTAATAAGAGGAGCGCATGTTTAATATCTTAACTTTCTTGAATAAGCTATTTTTTTTAAAATCTAGGATTTGAATGCCATGGCTTTTAGATTCAAAGATAAAGAGCGACCACGAGGCTACACTTCAAAACTTGCCGGATCATTGCATGTATGTGAAAGTTATCATTCATTTACTACTACATTTCAAAATTTTCTTTTTAACTGTGTTTTGGGATCAAATCCTGTATTCTAACAATATAAGAATTATAGTAATCTGACTCCTTAATTAAGAAAATATTACTGTGGCAGGAAAAGTACTTTATCTGTTTTCCACATTTTTTGCATAGTTTAGCAACAACAAATCCAGCATTTACTGAGAGGTGGTGCACTCTGATACCCCTATCAGATTTTGTCATGATCTGTGTTCATGGATTTCAAACTTCATTTCTACTTGTGATTTAGGAGACAATTAGTTAACCAAATCTTTGATCAGTACTAATTTATGAAGTGAAATTAGTTCCTGGGTGTGTGAAGAATTTTTGGGGGATTTGGCAGTTAGCAATAATGTGTTAACCTTTCATGCAATCTATGATTTTCTTTAAAAAAAATTGTAAACAACATAGTAATTTTGTCATTCCATAATTTCCATGTTCATGAATCAACTCTGTGCTCTTGCATCCTTTCTTCTCACTCTCCTTCAGTACTATCCAATTGAGGAAGTTCTGGCAGCTGATTTTTTGCTGGAAGAATTTCAGCCTGAACTAATAGAAATGGTCCTGGACAAACTGATACCAGAGAATGTGCGGTGAGTTACGGTATTGGTGCCCTTCCATGTATTTGTTTATATACTTTATACTTAAGCTCTTAAACACATAACCATCTCCAGTGCTATTCATTTAATATTTTTCATTTATTCCAGCATTTTCTTAAAGGAAAGCAAGCTTGAATTGCTACCACCAGACACCTTTGTAATTTGCTATTTCTGTCTCAAATATTTGCTTCCAGGTTACTCAGTGAATAAGCAGTTTTATGTCAGGTATTAAATGCATTTCTGCACCAATAGTGTGAAAGAAATATTATATCTGATACAATCTTGTTGTCTAATTCCTTCCTGTTATACTATGTGTTTTCCCTTAAAGGGTGGCAGTGGTTTCTAAAACGTTTGAAGGGAAAACTGATAAGACTGAGAAATGGTACGGTACAGAGTACAAACAAGAAAGTATTCCTGAGGATGTTATTGAGGTGAGCCTCCTCGTTTGCATTATTTTTATTTCAGCAAATTCAATCATTCTTAACTGAAGATTGAGCATTCTTTTAGCTTCTTTGCACAGTGCACTCAGACACTTATGCTGTTTGAAACCAACTGCAACATGTGCAGCACCAATTCTAAACAGTTTTCACTGATGGTTTTGAGACCATGTTGCAAAGATTTCAAACTGTCCTGAAAAATACTTAATTCAATATTCTGTCAGTTGTGAAAATGTTTTCTATGAGTTTGAACCTGTGGCCGGCCGCACACGCACTCTAATTCAATCTTGAACTTTTAGCAATCACTTCTGTTTATCACCGTAATCTGAATGCTGGATTTGTGTTAACTCCATAAGAAAAAAGATAGCAATGTTTTTGAAATTGTTAACTGCTAAGGAATCATGGAAGTGAATGTTGCTAAGCAATAATGGATATGTTTGTATCCAAAAGGAAAGTTTTTGATGAATTGAGTTTACATTAAACCCATTAAAAATACTTAACATAATAATACTTGAATTTTAACATTGAGAAACTATTCAACATTTAGAAAAAATATCTTTAAATGATTTAACAACAAGTATTTTAAAAATCTTAATGGTGATCACCAGGTAAAATCCTGGACATGAAAGGAGTTTTAATAAAGGAAACTTGGTTTACTTCTGCAGAAATGGAAAAACGCCAACCTAAATGGAAAATTTAAGTTGCCAGATAAGAATGAGTTTATTCCGACAAATTTTGAGATTATACCGTTAGAAAAAGATGCTACTTCATTCCCTTCTCTTATTAAGGTAAGTAATTCTAAACCTGTATGGATTTTAATGTAAATAGTTGGGACGGTGGGAGGCACCCATATGAGAGTATAGACTACTGAAATCTGTTAATTATGCTACATACTGTACATGAAGAAAATGTTTACAGCAACTTTGAATATGTCTTTTCAAGTTTCAACAATGTAGCCTTTATTAGAATTCATTGTTGAGTCCTGTAGCTCAGTGGTTAGAGCACTCGCTTTGCAAGTGAGAGACCTGAGTTCAATTCCAGGCAGAGCGAAACCTTGGGCAAGTTTCCTTACTCCACACAGAGCCTAATAATAATAATCCCTCCAAAACAATAATAAATTGGTCATTTTCAATCTACGACTGTTTGTGGGACATTGCTGTGCGCAATTGGCTGCTGCATTCGCCCACAAATATACAGCGAATTCCCTTTACAGTGTGTTCTGTGAAGCGCTTTGGGCCGTCCTCCCGACGTGAAAAGCGCTATATCAAATGCAAGGATTATTATTATTATTGCAAATACGCTCTGTTTAAAATCTGCACTGAAATCCATTTACATTTTCTTTGGCTTTGTTCACCATTCACTGTAGTTAAAAGTATATAGTTGTGGTCAAATCAAAAATTTTTAGAAAGAAATATTTTCATCTGTACTACTTGGTAACAGATCAGAGCATAGAATATACTAGCAAAGATCTTTACTCAAATTGAAAAGTCTATTGGCTCTGCATGTAATGTCACACCACCCTGATAAACGTTAAGTGATGTGCTACTTCAGTTTGGGGCAAGATCAGGAATTCAGGTATTCCCACATTTGTTTAATCTAATCACCATCACCCAAATTTAGCAAACGTGTGAAGTGAGTAGTTAAACAACAACAACAAGATTACATTTGTATAGCGCCTTTCATGTTGGGAAGGCGTCCCAAGGTGCTGGACAGTGTATAGTATTTCAGACTTGAGCTGGGAGGGAGAAGGGAGTGAAAGGGGGTGACCAATGGTCGAAGAGGCGGGTTTTGTGGCGGACTTGAAGGAGGCTAAAGAGGGGGCGAGGTGGAGTGATTGGGGGATGGAGTTCCAGAGGTTGGGGGCAGAATGGCCGAAGGCTCTCCCACCAATGGTGGGGCGGGTGGGTTCGTGGGACGTGGAGCAGGCCGGAGTCGGCTTAGTGGAGGGAGAGGGCGGGTTGGTAGGGGGTTAGGAGGTCGCAAAGGTAGGGTGGGGCAAGGCCATGGAGGGCTTTGTAGGTGAGGACCGGGATCTTGAACTGGATCCTCTGAAGAAAGGGAGCCAATGGAGTCGGGCGAGAATGGGGGAGATGGGGTCACGGAGTTTGGTGTGGGAGAGGACACGGGCTACAGAAACAGCAGAAAGCTGCATTGCAGACAAAGAACCAGTGATGGAAATACTCAGTAGAGATGCATAATTTCTTATTCTAAAGAACTAAATACTGGAATTAGAAATGTTTGCTGTGAAGCAGCCTGGTGTACCTATGAGCGCATCATTGGGAGGTTTTACGATTGACAGGATTGAAAGTGCTACAGTTAAAAGGAACTTCATATGTTATATAATTTTGAAATTAGTTACAGATGCATTTTATGTTTGCAGGACACGGCCATGAGCAAAGTATGGTTTAAACAAGACGACAAATTCTTTCTGCCAAAAGCTTGCTTAAATTTTGAAGTGTTCAGGTATGTTCTTTTAAATTGATGGAATTCTTAGTGGAAACAAATTCATATTGTGTAAAATATAAGCAAAGGAGCTAATAATTATCGTGTACTGCATGTTGCAAATTTATATTTGCAACAGACTTGCACGTATCACTTATAATGAGGTGAATTTTAGTATGGCTTTTAATGTGGGGCGTCCTCCCGATGTGAAAGGCACTATACAAATGTAATCTTGTTCTTGTTGTAAATAAATATAGCAAAGACGATGAGTGGATAGCTGTTTAGATGTTTAATAATAATGCTTACATTTAGTATAGTGCCTTTCGTGTTAGGAGAACATCTCAAAGCTCTTCACAGGATATACCGTAAAATGGAGACTTTTTTGACAACCATCCCTCCACCACCACCGTTATAAATGGAGTTACTTGGGTTTTCCACAAAGCTTAACAGTGGATACAATCTACATAGATGAGTAAAATATTCCATCTTCAGCTGGGCTGCTGCAGGGGGTTGTTTTAAGTTTCACTTGCCTGAGCCACAGAGCAGCATTGGCCAACTTATGGCTAAAGAACTTCTATTTAGTTTAATTGTGCTGTGGGTTTGAGAAATTCATACTGTTTGCCAACTGACTAGTAGAGTCAAATTGTGTACAGGAGTAATTCCACCTCCCATGCAATATTCAACTAGTCATCTGTCTGGTTGTTGGCTACTGGTTGGCTCCTAGAAATCTACTTGGACTTCTTTTGGACAAGTAAACCATAGTATTACTTCAGGGCTTGTTTAGATGGAACACCACCGTTGGTGAGAAGTCATCACATGTGTTCGGAAGTAAATTTTCACCACCTTGAAGGTGTGACCTCTCATTTTAGAATGTGTATTATCTAAGAGGGTCTAATTATCTATTTGTCATCACATCAGTTTCTTGCAGGAACTTGAATACCTTGACAAGATCACTCCTGAGTCTCCTCGGCTCCTGTGTGAATAGGGCCCAGTTCTTCAAAACTTTTTATTGTAGGGGCGCCTTCTAAGCGTTGGACTTGATATATATATAACCCAAGTTTTCAATCAGGATTTGTAGTGTCACTGTAGTACCAACAACTTCAGATCTCTCTGTATCTTTCTCTCTCTCTCTCACAGGTCTTTCCTCACAGAGCTGGACCTTTTGTCTTTCCCCTCTGCCCCCACACACATTCACTTTCCCTCTCTTTCTATCTTTCTCTGTCTCTCTCTCTGCCTTACTCTGTTCATCTGTCTTTCTCTGTGTGTGTGTGTGTGTGTGTGTATATATCTTTCTCCAATTTTATACTTGCCTCTATCTAATGTCCCTTCATAATTAAAAGTTTTGGGGTGGGGTCGCGGGGAGTAATTAAATCTTTTTGGTGACAATTTCACTCGGACTGCAATAAGCAAACATTACGTGATGTGTGTGTTTATGCAATGTTTATGATGGGGTTTGGCTATCTGGAGGAAACTACAAAGTCATCGTGATCTTGTAAAAGTGAATTCAGCCTTCTGTTTTACTAAGTAGCAATTTATGGCAACAGGATTTTAATTGTTGACATGTTCTCTTCCAGCCCATTTGCTTATGTGGATCCATTACATTGTAATATGGCCTATTTATATATTGAACTGCTGAAAGATTCTCTCAACGAGTATGCATATGCAGCAGAGCTAGCTGGCTTGAACTATGACCTACAAAATACGATCTATGGAATGTATGTAAGTACCCAAGTTCAGGGAAACAAAGCTGCAGAATTCTCTCCTTCAAAAGTTAGCTATTTTTGGTTTGTACTCCCCCTTCCATATGATCAGTTGAAATATTTCTCTCCTCCTTCCATCAACTAAGATTATTAGTTATCTAAGAGGCTGCATATACATACTCTTCAACAAGTTTTTTTTTTTACCCTTTGTAATATCACTGCTTAAATATTAATTACCTTCTAGAGGTTTATTCTCGACTTATATTTTGTTTTCTTTCTGTTAGTCGCTACATTTATGCTGACCCTCTTCATTGCAACATGACATACCTCTATATCAGGTTGTTGAGGGATGATTTAAAAGAGTATACATATGCAGCTCGCCTCTCAGGCTTGGTGTATTCACTAGTTCCAGCAATGAATTCGATTCTTGTAAGTAGACGAGCAGGAGAGGAATACAGCTTGAAAGTGAAGTGTTCGCAGGTGCACAAGCTTAATGCACTTCTTACATGTACATGTGTTTGATATTGCATTTTTAAATTGACTAATAAGACTGATTTGTAGTGCACCTACAATTATTAGTTATCTTAAGAATGAAGGATTTGTTTTGTGTAATTATTAAGTACATGTGTTTATACCACAACTGGTTGCAGGTTGAGTAATTTTTTCAATGAACCAGTTATTTGTTGACATAACTGGCAATTTATTTTATATGGCAATAGTTGGCCTGCCATATGTTGCAACTTTCAACAAATTTGGAATGCATCATTTTACTTGTGATGTGAAGTTTTCTTTAATGGGGAGCCGTTCATTCCATGGGTTGTCCCACTTGAGAGACCTCAACTCACTCACAATCTTGCATTGTGTGGTTTCTGAAGTTGTTCTTGACTATCACTAAAGTGAGTTGTGCACTTTTTCTTAAATTAACTGCTCAGGTATCATTAAACCCATTAATAGAGTGCATTAATACTCAAATGTTCTAATCCTATTCCTATCCCACTGTTTGAAATTGAAGCCTTGTTCACTACTGCATGGAGTGAATTGTGCCAATAATTGTTGTGTAAAGCTTTAGATATCTCAATTATGGTCCTCTTTGAAAAAAATCTTTGACCCAGAATAGTAAAAATACCAATGTTCTGGTTGATATCTGTTATAAGAGAAATAAATCTGTCATGAAATAATGTTTTATCTATAATTGCAATTCAACTTTGCTGTTGTTAACTACTACATTCTGAGCTTTCTTAAAGTACAAAAAAATAAGGTTGGTATCCTCTCCTTTTGAAAAATAGATGGCACATTGAGAAGAGAGAGGGAAAGACATTCAGTGCAGCAAAGTGTGAAGTTTTATAGTACATGTTGGCAGGAATAGAGAATGCAAAAAGTGGTACAGTTAAAATTTAAAATTGACGGATCTAGGTGTACAAATAAATTTTTGCTAGAGGTAGAGAAAGACATCAAAAGACAAATGGGATTCTTTGTTTTATGTACAGAGCTGTTGAATTCATGTAGCTTCTTCAGATTACACAGAATCAATTTCCAATATTGATTTTCCTGATAGTATAAAATTGAGACAATAATCATAATGGTTTAATAGTAATTTTTTTTTCTGCAAGATCTAAATTCAGTATTTGGTGGTACATTTACAATATACAATGTTTCTGAGAATGAGATTACATTATTTTATTTGAGTAATTTGATTTGGTTAATACCCATTATCAAAAGGTTTACATTTGATGTTTTCACCACATGAAACCTAATATTGAATTATAAGCGATTTGAGGATTTTTCACTAATATGTGTGAAAGCCTGTTTGCTTCAGCAAAGTTAAACTGCTGTTGTTCAAGGAAGGGAGGGGTAATAGAATTATTGCTAATCAACCAAAATTCCATTCACAGCTCTAAAGCACTAATAGCTGTGAAACTACTTGCAGATTATCTTCTGATTCTCTAATACTGGAGTTAACATGTACAGCCCCTCCCAACAGCTCCTCCTCACAAAACAATATTTCAAAAAAGATCTTTTATAAACTATTGACAAGCTTATGTTTGAGGTGAATCCTCCACCAGCACCGAAAGTACACTCTAAGATTGCAGGGTAAATGTTCTGAAGTGTCCTTCCCCTACACCACCTGAGATAGGTTGGAGCCCAATTGTGGAGAAATCTATCTTGGATTCTCTAACTGTGAAGGAAGCTGCATTGTGACTTTCATCAATCATTCAATTTCAGGGATTGCAGAATGTTCTTGGTTTTCATTCACACACCAGATCTACAGTTGGATTTTCAGTCCACTTGTGTGAATTTGATCCACTAATCATATACACTTGATTTGACACGAGCCACTTAGCACTTAAAAAGACATACGTCCTAAGTTGATTTTTTTAAAAAAAACACACACAGCAAATTTTCCATCTCAGGAAAGTTGGATTTGTTATGAAGTTGCATAAACACTTTATACTACTGCTTTTGCCTAACTTCTGAGAATTTCAGTGGATTTCACTTATCCTGTGAATTTTGTTGATATATGGAAACCCAAAAATGTGTCTTGTATGCAAAATATTGCTTCTCGTATATAAAAAGTTTTTGTGCTCCTTACTCTGCAACAGTTGTCAGTGAAGGGGTACAGTGACAAGCAGCACATCCTTCTCAGGAAGATAGTTGAGAAGATGGCAAACTTTGAGATTGATGAGAAGCGATTTGAGATAATCAAGGAAGCAGTAAGTAATACATTATATGTTTGTTTTCCACTGGTAATACAAATCTTATATTAAAGTTTGGTCACGTCCCAGTGATCCAGCCAGATATAAATTAAATTAGTGAGATTATTCATGTTCATGGCTAGGTTGATAATTGCTGATACTAATTTGCTAACATTGAAAACAAATGGGAGGGGAAATGGAAAAGAGTGCACATTCAGTGAATGAGTTCACTGAAATTGCAGTGGGCAAGAGTGGGTTAGACACTATGAAACTTATTTGTAGATAATTTTAAACATTTTTATTTCAGTACATGCGATCCCTGAGTAACTTCAGAGCAGAGCAGCCTCACCAACATGCCATGTATTACCTCAGATTGCTAATGACTGAGGTAGCCTGGACTAAAGATGAACTTAAGGAAGCTTTGGAAGGTAAGAATGCTGCCTTTTTCACTAAATTTCGTAAAACATCTTCAGAACAGACTAGTATAAGTAAATAAATAAAAATCTGTTGGAATGAAAACAAATTAACTAAAATTTTCAAAACCAATTCAGAATGATGTTGAAACATCCAAATGGGCTTAATTACAGAATTTTAATTAGAACAGAAGTGAGCTGACGTAGGAGAAGCAAATGGAAACACAGTTGTATGGTGTTTCCATATGTTGTACGGTGGCTGTGGCTACATCTGCAACCTGGATGGGATTTGCTTCCTAGATTTTCCATTGACGATGCACATATTTGGTATCCAGAGTCTTGACATACCAATCCAGTACTTTGTGGTCTCAGAGAAAGGCAGCAGATGGCTGCCTACGTCAGAGTAATGTCTTTAGTGGAGTCCTGTAGTGAAGTGATTAGAGCACTTGCCTCTCAAGCAAGAGGACCCGGGTTTGTTTCTCGGGTGGAGCAAAACCGTAGACAAGTTTCCTTACTCCACATACCTCTGTTTATTTAGCACTGAGGAAGAACCCAGTTAGTCGATTAGCAAATTGCTTTCCGGGGATAATAATCCACGACTGTGGGAAACAGCCGTGTGCAATTGGCTGCTGCATTTTGTGCACACATTATACAGTCTTTGCAATTTGCAATATATTCTGTGAAGCACTTTGAGATGTCTCAACGATGTGATAAGGCGGTATATCAAATGCATGGATTATTATTATTAAGTTCTCCATGTGAAAACAGCTCAATCGATCTTGGACAGGTAGGAGGTGAGGGTGGTAAATGATCATGGTCATCCTTTGGGACAAAGTAAACATTTAAACCTTTGATAATAAATATTCTTGATTGCTGATTGAAGGACCAATAGAACGAGGCTTCCTTTTTTTTGTGCATCAGTCAGAGCTAAGGTATAAAAGTATAAAACGATCCCTTCCCTCCCCTCTACCTCAAAATGACTTCACCTATAGTTCCAGTTTGTTTTGCACTTCTGTTTCTGCTTCTGTAAAATCAATCACCATTGAATCTGGGCCAAGTGTTGTATGAATCCAGAACGTAATGTAGTTATCAAATGAATACGTGCAGTTGTATAGTGCATGAGGTAAGGTACATTGGAAGAAAATCTTTTTTATGGTAGATTTCTATTCTTGCTACAGTACATAATGCATTATGATCCACTGTATTAGTTCTCCAGAGATACTGTCCAATAAAAAAAGATTGATTCAGCTGTCTAACAATCTGTTCCAGATGTCACTCTCCCACGCCTCAAGGCCTTTATACCTCAACTGTTGTCAAGGCTACACATTGAAGCACTTCTCCATGGCAATATAACAAGACAGGTTGGTTAGTTTTCTGAGATATAAAACTAAGTGTTTTTATTGAAATTGTTGCCAATATTGCACTGAATTCCCCAAAATATTAAATTTACATTACGCTTAAATATTTTAAGTGTACCATAAATTTAATAATTTATTTTCAGTTACAAATACATACATTGGCATGAATCCTAATCACAGTTAGCCTGAAATATTGAAGGTCAAATGTGTTAGAATGTTAGTTTAAGAGGAGGAAAAAATACTTGCGCCTCCAAATTAGATATATTGAAATAAATATTTGTAAAATGCAGCATTGTCTGCTGTATGTTTTCACAGTACCCATCATTCCAGGGCCAAAGTTTTTAGTAAAATACTGATTAATTTATTCAAAGCTCATCTGTTTTTACAGTTCCACTGAAACATAAATGATTCAGTAGCTATTTTGTTCCAACAACGATGAAGCTGATTAAGTGTTCACTGTATTCTCTGTTGCCTTGTGTTTCAGTAAAGACGATTCATAAGTCTGTAAATCATATCCAAAGCAAAATAACTATTTCTATCATCAAAATTCTCTTTATTTGTAAAAAAATATATAATTTGGGTCTTAATCCTCATATTGGTTAAAGGTATGTTGCATGTGTTTCAAGAAATTCTAAAATTGCTTCATCCGCTGGCATCTAGTTGTGAGTGACTGTTATAAACCTTTGGTTTGCTTGAATGTTTAAATGGACTGTTGTTTCAGAGAAGAGAGGAGTCCAAAAGAGCGGCAGAACAGCTTAGTTAAAATGGAATCTCTTGCAAGTACTTAAGGTGTTCTTGTGCCACAAATGCTAGTTTTTGAGCTGTGTATTGATGAACATCTTTTAAAAATGCCAGGAACATTCTGTGATGTTCTTTCTCATATGAGCTTCAATACATAACTCAAATAGATATATTGGCTGGTCACCAATTGAAGATGTTGAATATATGCAGTACCAAAGCAAAAACCAGGAATTAACTTAATTTTAGCATTGATTAAACTTCTAATAAAGGAAGCTACGATTTGAATTACACCCTGCTGAGATTATACCTGTGAATTATGAAAAGGAGCATGTGGTACTTAATCAGTTTATATCTTTTTAAACAATTTTGCTGCTGAGTAGCCAGGGCCTAGTGTTTTCAGACCATTTGTAGGTACACCAAGTAATTTGTGTTATTGGTGATGAAATGTTACATGTTGCTAGGGAATTGTCCATCTTTGATCTCATTTTTTAAAACAAAACTTGTGCACATTGATATACCTGCTATTACCAACATATTGCAAAGTTCAGCTGAGCGAAAAGCTCGCTCACTACATTATTCATTGTCACTTGCTGAGCAAAGCAGATAGTATCAGTTGTTCCTTACTCCGGGTGTTATTCATTGGAAAGTTAACCATTTGGTTTGAATAGAAAAGTAATGCATCTTTTGTGCATTTGGACATTTCTTTGTATTACTTGCCCTGACTAAAATCTATTGCTTTTATGCAATCATGCACAAACAATAAAATAAATTTTTGAACATAATAATTTTGAGTTAGCTTCTCAATAAGAAGTGATGCAAAGAGTCCACGGACCCTACAATAAAACCATTTGCACTTTTTAAAGTCATTGGAGTTTTTCTAGATACAAGTGAAGGCTTACCTTTCTGCTGTTTGTCTTTTTAATATAGAAACAATCTAAGAAATAGGTGTGCAGATGATTTAACTTTTAAATTGTAATCTGTCCCTTTGAATCTAGACTGCTTTGAATATCACGCAAATGGTTGAAGACACCCTTATTGAGCACGCTCATACTAAACCTCTTCTTCCTAGTCAACTGATCCGGTACAGAGAGGTACAACTTCCAGACAGTAGGTTTCATTTTGCAGTTTACTCTAGTTTGTTTTGTGGTTTTGTTATCAATCCCTCTTTCTGTAATTTTTATATATTTTGGATTAATGTAATATTGCCTACTTAACTACATTCACTACACATCAAAGTAATTAATCATTTTAAGGCATTCTGATGTGATTTTCTTACGGTGTGGTTAATAATAATCCTTGCGTTTGATATCACGCCATATCACGTCACTGAGATGTCTCAAATCGCTTCATTGAAAAGGCAAATGTTATTCAAAGGAACACTGTAGGATAAGGTTTTAAAGCAGCGTTTGTGACAACGCACAAGATCACATCCTTTCAAAACACCCAACCTGTGGTCCTATTATACCATCAAGCTGTTTTTTAAATGAATGCAGTATTCTTTGTCTCATTGTAGTTCTAATAATGAATTTTCAAACATTTGTTCCTATTTTATGCTGAACCGTAAAAGTGAAGCAATTAGCAACCAGAAGTCTGTTGTACTTCTCAATATCTTGCATCGGTGCAAGGCTGAGGCGAGTTCTGTGCTTGTATCTGTTCACGGTTTTAATAGACAATCTTGTATTTTTTAAAGAATTGCCATATATTTGAGACAACTGGTCACAATTATTAAGATTGGTTGCACAACCATCTTGATAATACCAAAATGGGTCCTCAAGCATTTTTGAACTGTCCATTGCACTATCCAAGGATTCTTAATTTACCACCATCTCCAATAGAGCACGGACTGATTCAGACTGCCTTTAGTGTGGCTATGAATTATGTGCTGTCGAAACCACTTTCTCAGTAGTCAGGCAGGTGGGTCTAGTTTGATTACCCATTGAACCATATTATACTTCATAATTCATGGGAAAAACAGGACATATGACGAAGAAAACCATTTCTGTGCTCAATTCCTTTTCTTCTCTGCAGGAGGATGGTTTGTGTACCAGCAGAGAAATGAGGTTCACAACAACTGTGGGATTGAGATCTACTATCAGACAGACATGCAGAACACCAATGAAAATATGTTGCTGGAACTTCTCTGTCAAATCATATCGGAGCCGTGCTTCAACACATTGCGGACTAAGGAGCAGCTTGGTGTGTCATTTATCCTGTTATTCATAACAATAAAAATAATGCTAATCCTTGCATCTGATATAGTGCCTTTCATGTCGGAAGGAAACCTCAAACGACTTTACAGGGTATCGCTAAAGGGTGGTGATTGTGTTTGTGAAGATCAAGACAATGATTCGGATAGTCCTATTTTAACAGTAATAGAACCACACAATCTTTATTTAAATATAGGAAAGGGGGGAAAATATGTACTGACAAATTTAAATATTGACTCGGTCTTAAAAAAAAGTTTGAGAGCAATTATTGAAGTGTTCCACTTACTATTTCTCCTCACGGCAGGTTACATTGTGTTCAGTGGTCCACGCAGAGCAAATGGTGTACAGGGTTTACGTTTCATCATTCAGTCTGAAAAGGACCCCAGTTACCTGGAGAGCAGGATCGAGGCTTTCTTAAAAATGATGGAAAAGTCTATTGAGGAGATGCCCGAGGAAGCCTTTCAGAAACATATCCAAGCTCTGGCAATAAAGCGACTTGATAAACCCAAAAAACTCTCTGCTGAGTGTGCTAAGCACTGGAGCGAAATCATCTCCCAGCAATACAACTTTGACCGAGGTTAGTATAAAATGCATAGTGGAAACTTGTTTAAATCTTCTTAATCCTGGTAATGTTATGAAAAGCACCCCCACCCCACCCACTTGTCTATAGGACTCGAATCGAATTTTATATAAACAAGCCCACATTATTTGTATTCTATAGTGCATCAAAAATCAGTTTCCAAAGAACATTCCTCTATGTCACTCAGTTATGCAGCCAAGAGGAGAGGAAAACAATCTTTTTCTCTGGTGACCTAGTAGAGGTGAGTTTTTTTATTGGTCAGCTGGGTGTCTGACACATGCAGAAACCCATCACCAATCTGAGAAGTATCCAAACCAAGCTGATATTTCCATGCACCACAAATACATGCATACACATGGAAATCCCAGAGGCAGATTGTTGGAATGGAATGCGCACTCTCTCCCTGGAGGGATGCATCCTGCTTACCTATTTCCGCAAAGTATTAGGCGCAGGTTGGCAAGGCTCGGGGACCTCAGAGTGTGCGTTGGGGTACTGCTGGAGTTTAACCAGCTTAAAACCGCACAGCTTGCCATTGATGAGGTACTTAATGTGTGGGGAGCTGTAATTGTAATTGCAAACCTAATAGATCCTACCGTTGCGGAACAGCATGTTAGTACTTTGACTGGTGTGGGACTGAGCACGACTGCAATTATTTTAAAAATAACTGCTTAAAAAAAAACAGGTGTTGGGCTCTTATCAATTGAATACAGTGATTAATCACTTAAGGAATCTGTAAGACATTTCTGTTTAGTTGGGTACCTGAGGCTTTGTTGGCGTATCGAGGTAACCTGCTGCAATTGTTTGCTGAGATGGAAAGCATTAACTAATGGCCAAGCTTACTTGTTTGCGAATAAGGTATATAATAGTGCTTGTAATTTTGTTTCAGATAACACTGAAGTAGCACATCTAAAGATACTGACTAAAGAGGATATAATGAATTTCTATAGAGTAAGTCTGATCTTTTATTGCCAAATCTCAAATTAAGTTTCTGTATAATCATGAATGTTAATTAATATTGAGGACTGTATAAAATTGATTCATAATGGAGCAAGCTTAATGTCATTACGGATTACATTTTGGGGAATAGTTACATCGCATTACATCACCAGCTAAACCAACCAAGATATGGTTGCATGTAGGCTGCTTATCTTTAATAAGATATGGTTTATTTTGGGGTCAAATAATACTGCAATCAAAAAACTATTAATTTAGCCCTTAAGATTGCTGAGTGAAGCACAAAGGAAAGTGTATTCAGAAACCAAGATATTGACCTCAATTTGCCCGTCCCCCCCCAAATATTATTTTAACCTACGCACTTTCCTGTCATCACTTTTTTCAACCCTATTTTCTCATCCAGCTTCTTTTAAAATTGTTTTTACATATTTTAATCTTTGGGGTTTCTAAGTAGTCAATATTTGCTGAGGTCCAAGGTTTGCTCGAAAGGAATAAATACATGTAGACCTTTGAGATTTGCAGAATAACGTATGTGATAATATGAGGATTATAATATGCAGATTTCTTTCTATAATTACATGCTGTAGTTTTCTGAAAAATCAAGTCTTGTATTTTTCTTCAGCTTTGTGCTCTTCATCGTTCTAAAGCTACCACAATCTAACAGTTGTGTAACATTTGATGCTTGAATTTATAATATATCTGACTCCTGTCATTGTTCAGAGTGAATAAATTGGCAACAGCTGTGATTATGTGTATACTTAATACATATATATATTAATGTGTGGTCAGAGCAGTCGTTTATTGTGTTAATGTAATTTTCTTATACATTGGGGCAATATTTTGTCAAAACTAAATAATGGTTTCAAATTTATTCTTGACAGGAAAGGATTTGAATTCACAATTCAGATACAAATATAGCAGATTGCACATTAATGAAAGATGAAACTATAAAATAATTTGAATTGTTACCAAGCAACATTGAACAGAGCCCATTTATATCTAAAGATATATACAACAATGTTTAACAGTTCATATAAATTTGGAGGTTTTCCTTTAAACAACATGTTCATGTGCAGGATACAATGCTCATAATAATCTGAATCCTCCTATATTTCCAGAATCTGCTGGATGTTGATGGTTCAAGGAGGCACAAGATCTCGGTACATGTTTTGTCCAGGGATATGGATTCTTGTGAGTATTTGTGGTGGTCAGAACTGATGATTAATAGAACATGTTGGGTTAATATCTTGCATTTAAAAATTTCTGCAACATTCAGCTATTTTCATTAGCCTGTAGCATAAAGTATGAATTTCTATTACAGTGCAAGTTTTTTTCCCATCCAGCCTATTTGTTTATTATCCATGTAAATGTTACCTTTCTTGGCTTGATCACATGTTGCTCACCAAAGGACTGATTTGCACACTTGCAATATATCTGGATTCTCAATTTACAAATCATTTGGAACTCTCTCACTTTAGATCCTGTTGCTTTAGGTAGTGAGTTTGTGCATGAAAGAAAAGAGGCCAAGAGAGGAGATGAATCAATATTCTAGAAACTTTGCTTTATTTGCGGGGTTTGGATAATATCTATTTAATACACTTGCCCCTTGAGAGACTGGGTTGGTTTTCCTTCGCGGTAAGCTTGTAAGCTCAAGAGTCAATTAGCCAACTTTATGACCCAATCTTTTATGTTCATGTATTGGCTGCAATAAATCCCTTTTTGTTTCAACGAATGAATGCGTGGTGTTGCCTGTCATTTAAATACCTGCAAGTCATGTCGGCATGTCACATGCTAGAAAAATGTTTCATTTTGAAAATAGTGTGTAAACCTCATTTACAGTAGAGCCAGTTTTATATCTTGTAGTATATGGCATCTGCTTTCCCTTCCCCATTTAATACTTATGAATTTGCTATTCCAGTGCCTTGGGACATCCTCCCGACTTGAAAGGTGCTATATAAATGCAATTTGTTGTTGTAAAAGGTATCACTGAGGATCTTAGTTCAATATCTGAAGTGCAAATATTAATGACTGCATTTGAAATCAAGCTTTTCTATCCCTTGACTATTTTAGATTAATTCACATTGCTGTATGAGTAATGATTAGCTTTTTCAATTTGTTGCTGATGTCACGATTGATTTATTCTAGGCCCTGTTGTTGGTCAATTTCTATCTCAAAATGATGTCAATCTATCTCCTGCACCAACCTTGCCACAGGTAAGTTAATTACATTGATATTTCTCTTATGTACATTCTATAGAAATTGTGCATTGGCTGCCATAGCCATGTGCATTTTTGGAATGAGAGAATGGTGGACCGCATTCCTATGCATCATTATGGCCAGTTACATAGCATAATTAGCAAAGGTCTGGATGAGGGCACCTCTGCCATTTCACAAGAATGAGCAGATAATTACAATTTTTAAATGCTCAAAATTTTTAAACCATCATTTTAATTCATTGGAGCACAGATAGTGATTCAAATTTTTTTTATATAAAAGAGAGACACAGGAGTTCCATCCTCACACCTCTTTGGTGTATCCTTGCAGAATTATTTACATTATTGAAAAGTTGATACGAATCTCTCCTGCTGCTGCATACTAAATTTGCATTGTTCAGCCTGAATGCAGTATTTGCATTTTTCCAACATTTACATTGTTCTGTTCGCTTGAGGGGAAGGTGGACCAGGTTGAAAAGTGGGACGTGCATACTAGAGAAAAAATGGGTAAAAAATTGTATTTAGTCATGGGTAGCAATAAGAATTTGTAATTAAAACCCCCAGAAAATGAAATGCCTTGTTACATTTACTACAGTAACAAGACATTGTAAGATTATTAAAAGGCATGTGGTTAGAACTTTTTTTAAAAAAAAGCCCCATTGCTTTGTTAAACGTATAGGGTACAGGCTGAAAGAATACAAGAGTACCTGTGTTAATAAACAAGGGCTCAAATAGCTCTGCAAAGGTGCAGCTTACTTTAATTTACATGTACGTCATTCATGTTCGTTAGCCAAAATAAATTAAACCTATGCATTTCCTAATACTTTGATATGATTGTGTAGTCAGAATATTGCCTGTTTTTATGTCAACTGAAAAATATACCTTTTGGCTTTTTTATTTAGCCACATGTAATTGAAGACATGACTGCATTCAAACGCAGTCTACCACTCTTTCCACTGGCAAAGCCTCACATCAACTTCATGGCTGCAAAACTCTGAGGTCGAGAACACTGACAGAGGGCAAGAAGACCTGAATAAAAAAAGAAAAATTAAACCACATTGAGGAGGAACTTTCAAATCTAATTTCTTTTGATGAACGATTTACAGTCAGCAGTGTTCAAAGTAAAATAATTTTGTGTACTTCTGCATGTTAATGGTTCAGATAGCAGGTAGTTGAGTGGTATGGTTAGATTATTTGTCCATAAAACTGCACATAAAATTGGAATCCTACAAAACAGTAATGTATAAACCAGTAATGTTAGACATGTGTAATATAGTTGAGGTGAAATTCTTTTGAAATAGAACACCAGAAAATAAAATGCCTTTTATTTACTATAGTAACAAGAAATTGTAAGATTATTACAAGGCATGCGGCTAGAACATTTTTTTCTGGTGGTTATAACTAAAATGAATACATTTTTATCTTGTAGGCAAGTTTTGTAGTTTTTACATTTTATGTGCAAACACAAGCAGTAAGATGCTGGAAACTAGTTTTTTTTGGTTTTAAATACTTTTCGCAAAACACTCTATTCAAAATTGCAGAAAACAGTTTAAATTGTCAAATAGCTTCCAGTTTCACTTATGTTCCATCTCTTCTGTGGATAATATTCCTCACTTTAGGATGTATATCATCTCGAAGACTGAATTGCAACATTTTGGTACAATACTGATTAAAAATGGAAGATTCTCTGGTTTGAAGAAGTAATGGTCATCAAAAGGCTGTTTTATTTAATTTTTCCTCAATAAAAGATACATTTTGTAACTTATTCAGTCCTTTTCCAGTTGCAGGACTTCCTTTTTCCTTTAATTAAAATGTGTTCTAATTTAAATACTGTATTTAAAAACACTATTGGAAAAAGTACTAACTAAATCTGTTGCTCCCCTCATTCTGCTTTTGAAACCTCTATAAATTTAGCAAGCTCCATAATGTTTTCAAATAACTTCCCATATTTCTTCTGGTGTATAAATTAATTTACAAGCTGCATTATTGCAAGCCCTGACAACAAATTAATGATTCTGTTAGTGTGGTTTTACAATGTTACTCTTTTGTATTACTATATGCAATTTTTTCCAAGCACCATTAAGAAAATCTGAAGGAAACAGCAGAATGTTAACTTTTCTTAATGGTGAAAAATGCATATTATTTCAGTAATTTAAAAAATCTTAGTTCTTGATCCACAAAAAAAATTACGATGAAACATTTCAAATGTTTCACAGGTCAAGTGCTATATTGGATTTCAAAATACATTGTAATGTAGTTTCTTAATGGAAACCAATAGGTAGTGAATAATAAGATTCAAATGGATACAATTGTTAGAAAGTAATTTGTTTAGCCTACCATAGTACACCAGTCTTTTCAGCAGTTTGCCACCTTTTACGATATTTCATTGGGTAGTGTTGGAACATTTTAGCTGTTCATATTGCTCTTAGGATTGTAATTTTACAGAATTTTGAAAGTTGGTACATAGGGGACGTTATGGGCATTATCTGCAATATAATACCATCAGAAATCGTATCTTGTTATCCATATTGAATACTTCAAAACCCTACAGAACTTCTTCCATTAGTATTAGAATTGTATCAGAATTTTATCTAAATGTGACAATTACACACCAGATCAACCAAGCAAAACTTAAAAGCAAAAAAAACTTTATATTAAAACTAAGGTTTACAGTAGGTTCCACTATACTGTTGAAACATGTTTTTCTACATTTCCAGCATTTGTGCAGTTTGACTCAGGCATATCCATAGATTCTGTATATGAATTCTGAGGATGTAGCTTTTCCAAGCAATAAGAGCCAGAGTATCGTTAACATTCAACACATTTTTATGGCTTGTGAATAGATGTAACCTTTTTTGTTGAATTGAGCATAAATGACTTAGACTAATTTAATTTTAAGACTTTGGTGCTGTTGATGTAGAACTGGATTCATATATATAACCAGTGTATACTGGCAGGATTTTCCTGTTTGCAATAAAAATTTTAATCATCCTCATTCCTGAAGTCCATTGTCCAGTTTTTCAACTTTGATTTTATGTACTGACAAAGACAGTTGAATGTTTTGACTGGCAATTATGGCCCACAGAAATGATGACTGTACATCTGAAACCATACTACAAAATTACCACACTGGTTTGCACTTTTAACAAGTTTGTTTTGCATCATTTTCTTAAACGAGGAACCATATTGCATCTATAAATATAATTTTACTAACTAATGAATATAAGATTTGCGCCTGTTATATCATCTTATCATTTTTATCTGGTGAAAAGATATATTGGAAATGGTTATGCATACAACTTGTCTGAGTAGGCTTAGACTCAAAGGTGATCGAGAGGAGCATTGCAAATTAACCTTTTCTCTTTGAAATTCCACCACCAACAAAATTACATTTGTATAGCGCTTTTCACGTTGGGAGGATGGCCCAAGCCGCTGGACAGTCAGTGTTTCGGACCCGATTTAGGAATCAAGATCTGGGAGGGTGGCTGAAGGTACGGTCAAAGAGGAGGGTCTTGAGACAGGTCTTGAAGGAGGCGGCGAGGTGGAAGGACTGTGGGATGGAGTTCCACAGTGGGGGCAGAATGGCAGATGGTGGGACAGGGGATGTGAAGTGGGCCAGAGCCCGCTGAGTGGGAGTGGGCAGGTTGGTAGGAGGTTGCATAAATAGGGGGGAGCAAGGCCATGGAGGGCTTTGAAGATGAGGACCAGGATCTTGAATTGTATCCTGTGTGATGGGAAGCCAGTGGAGTCAGATGGGGGTGATAGGGTCATGGAGCCTGGTGTGGGAGAGAACACGGGCTGCAGATCACCAAGTGGAAGGAGTTGGGAAGGCCAACAATTAGGTAGTTTGCGTAGTCGAGCCTGGATGTTATGAATGTGTGTATGAGGATCTCGGCGGCCTGCAGTGTGAGACAGTGGCAGAAACGGGCCATGGCATGGATGGGGGGTAGAAAGCATAGTTGAGGGTCAAACAAGATGCCAAGGTTCTTGACTGGCTTAGTAAGATGGAGTGTGCATCCTTGAACCAACCAAGTGCACACGGAGAAAGCATTGCTGACGCATCCCCTCAAGACACTGATTAGCTGACCCCAATGTAGTCATTGATTACAAAAGTGCTGTGAAGGAACTGGAACTCAGACAATAGACTCCAAAAGACAATCCCTGTCACCTGCAACGGAGGCCTATGCTTCAGCTTTCCAAAAATAAATTGAAGGCAATTATAGCCCTCAATGTTCCTGAGGGCCTCTGTGGAATGAAACTTTTGCTTTGTCAATTGCAGAATACAGAACGTTTGAAATTTACAGCACATAAGGCCATTCAGCCCATCAACTCTGTGCTGGTTCTTTGCAAAAGCAATCCATTTAGTCTCATTTATTTCATTTTCCCCACACATGGAAATTACTGATTTTTAAGTATCTATCTCATTCCCTCTTGAAAGCTAAAATGGGTTTTGCCTCAATCACACCTGGCGTCAGACAATCAGAAAGAAAAATTCAACCAACCCTATCTATCTAAGTTAAAATATTTTCAAATAATTTTTTCAAATTTCAAATAATATTTCAATTTTAACCCAATTGTTTCCTGCTTGATTCTTCATTCATTTTGAAAGCATAAATGATCAGAGAAAGTAGTACTCATGAGGAAAAATTTGATTGGGATGCAAGGCTAGCCAAATGGTCTCCCTTGATTTACGAACAGTGCTTTTACATGATTGTTAACATTCTTGTTTAAGACAATTCTGTAGAGTTCAAGAAACTACTTTTTCTACATCCTTTAAATTTGATTAATTGAAACCTGGATTCTTTTGTGAACACTGCCCATTCTTTCAGGCCCATCACACATTGGTAGTTCTTGACAAGGGATAGAGATATTATTAAATCACAGTATAGGTTGATAGGTAGTTTGGTGATGGAGTATGCTGATATGCACATTAGCACTGCAATGCAGATTAGCCCATTATACAATAATACTGATGCCATTTTATTGTAATGGTAGAAGGCTGAACGCAGAAGAACAGCACTCCTGTTCAAAATAACCTAAATTGCAGTGATAGTATATACAGTAGAGGAATTTAAATGTGTATTGCATAAGTGAAAGGATAATATTCAAACTTTTTTGCCACCAAGACTGTTTTATTTAGCTTCGATTTTTGTAGGTCTAAACTTATTCTACAAAATTTGCAAAATGTATTCCTTTTGGTATAACATATTGATCCCCCTTTTGTATTGCACTGCATTGTGGCTGATTAATTTGTTTGGAAAATTTCTTGCATAGTATAATACAATCTTAGCTAGAAACTCAGGGATATGTCAAGTCAAAATTAGGCTCTATATCAAGAGAACATTGGAAAGCAAGTAACCACATGATGGTGTCATGACTGTCATTAATAATCCTTGCATTTTATTATAGTGCCTGAACCTCAAAGTATGTGTTTCACAAGTAACTGCTGTCAAGTTTACTGACAATGTACAGGCAAAACCGTTATAACCAGTATTTTGGATCCATTCCTTCCTTGGTCCAACCACTTACTGTCGTTGGCTTCCCAAAAATACTGAAACCCACTAGACCCAAAGTACTGTATACAATCAGAAATGTGCTCAATACGTTCATACAATGCGCTCATCAAATATTATGCCAAGAAAGTCTTCTACAATTAAAACAAGTTCTCACTTTACTGCTTCAGGGCTCCAAATAAAAATGTCCAGCACTGAAAACAAGGTGGTTGCGTGGATTGGTCTGCTGCAATGAACCAGCTGATGCATATCAAATAAGATTATTGTAGATACTCGTGGCTGTCATTGTTGCACAAATGACTAAAGAGGGATTCCTTTTCTGTGGGTATTCAAGTTTATTTTAAGACAGCTAAAAAGATTTTAGTTAGGAAATCAAAAAAATTCTAAGTACATCTTTCAAAGCCCAGTGCGATTCTGCCAGTGGTTTTAATTGCATTGAAGGCTTCACGCTTATTAACCAATGGAGTCCTGTAGCTCAGCGAGACACCTGGGTTCAATTCCAGGCAGGGCAAAACCTTGGGGAAGTTTCCTTACGCCACACGCCTAATAATAATCCCTCCAGAAAACAAAACAATAAAAAATGGTCATTTTCAATCCACGACTGTTTGTGGGACACTGCTGTGTGCAATTGGCTGCCAGGTTTCACCCACAAATATAGTCAATTCACTTTACAGTCTATTCTGTGAAGCACTTTGAGATATCTAGAAGACATGAAATGCAAGGATTATTATTATTGTAATAACCAGTTAAGGCAACAGTAGAACACTGAAGTGCACCTTGCCATGCAATTAAGAGACGCTCCAATCAGATTATTCTTGCAAATGTAGCAATTAGGAACTCATTAGCAATTCAGTTTGTACCCAATGCACTTTTACATTTACATCATGTCATCAAGGTCCAGATTTGAAGAATTTTTCTGGTCAAATGAACCCAGTCTGTCCCCCTCTCTGGCCTTGAATTGAAGATACCAATATCATGACATTCTGTATAAGGTTGCCTAGTTTGTGGGTGACATTGTTGGCTTGTTTTGTTGGTTAGGACACTTCACATTAACCTCACCTCTGCACATTCCTCACAGCTGTACATTTACAGCAAACTCCATTACTTTAACATTTCTTTGTTCATGGATAACAAATATCTTTCACGTTCTTCCAACTTAGTAAAAACATGCAGTATAAATGCCTGGTTTAAGGGATTGAGATAATGAAACTCTCAGGGATAGAAACAAAAACAGAGAGAACTGGGAAAACTCAGCAGGTCAGGCAGCATCTATAGAGAATGAAAGTGAGTCAACGTTTCGGGTCCACGACTTTCTGACGAAGTGTCGTGAACCCAAAACGTTGACTCACTTTCCTTTCTCTATAGATGCTGCCTGACCTGCTGAGTTTTCCCAGCTCTCTCTGTTTTTGTTTCAGATTCCAGCATCTGCAGTATTTTGTGTTCTCTCAGGGATAGACATCTATGGCTGTAGAACAATTACAATGATTCTGGAGCACCTCCGAATAAACTACCTGCACATCTTGTATCTTTTTTTAAATTAAACTGTTGATTTTTGTTTTATAGATCACCAAAACCCACTCACCCAAATTTCATTCTTTTCTTCGTAGATGCATACTCTCTCATGGGATTCTCCGAGTACACAATCCAACAGAACCATTACCCATTCATTTATAACACTGACTTGTTTCAAGATAAGTTAGCATTTGCAATAATCAAATTACGGTTTATTTGAATCTGCTGTATTCTGAAGTGCTCTGTGGTAAGGTGATGTACATGAAATTCGAAAAAAGTAAAGCTGAAAATACCAGTTCAACACAAGATTCTTTAATAACTATCAAGGTCAAGAATGAATGCCATTTTTCTTTGCACAAAGGAACTGATATTGTGTTCAATATGTATCAATTTAATTATCAATAGAACTCATCCAATATTTAGCTGAAACAAATGTTATTTACAATGTTTTGGTCAAGAACTTTACAACTAATAGGGTATAACCAACAAATGTTTCTTTAGTGCTTAACATACTAACATAACTAACTTGCTGTTTGCTAACAAGCGATCATAGGGGCAAATATACAAAGCTTGCAATAACTCTTAATTGCACTTACATTTTACTTTTTTTTCTTACCATTTTTTTCTCCTCTCCTGACGTCTACTCTTTCCTTGTTATTGAGGACGCAGGTCCATGGCTGTGCATTCTCTCTGGTACCTTGCCCAAGTGGGTTTTAACAGTGTGTTGATGGATTCTTCAACTGCATGCCATTCCGGCCCTCATCGACATCCATGAATGTGCACTCCAACATGGTTCATTGGATATCAATCAAGAGTGGGTAGCTTGTTTGGTTTTGTTAGTTAGGTGCAATTGTAGTTCCCTAGCACCAGGGCCTTCACTGGTCTATACTGCTTATTTCTTTTTCAGTGGAAGAGCATTAGTACAATATTTTAAAATATGGTAAATAAACATTACTATAATCTTTTAAAAAGATTAGAAAGATATCACAACATAATTCTAAGAACAGAATCAGTTTCATCAGAGCATCTTGATTGCAATGCAAAGATTGACATCCTTGTCAAGCTTCTAATACCCATTTATATCGAAATAAACAAAGAATAGGTTAGTGTACTTGTATGCATTTGAAGCATTATGTTTTGTGGTTGCAAGGTGCAGGCAAATGCGACTGCTAATTGCACTGAAGATTTACTCCTGGGGATAAACAAAATGAACAAAATTTGAATAATTTGAACAGCCAGTGTTCTTACTTTTTTAAAAAATGTGGAATTGCAATTAAACAAAGCTTCAGTGACAGTAGTTAGCTGTGTAACTCATTGAGTTGAAATTAGCACCAGAAAATTAATTTTAATATAAATTTTTATTTATAATACATTATGGGCAATGAGTTCTACAGATCAATTGACAATACTGTACAGTAAAACAACTCGAAACAGAATAATTTATATAGTACTTTATGAACCAATATCATTCACCTGCTGCTGTCAAACAAAAAACAGCATGAGGAAATACAAAAAAGCTTGCAATGAAAGGTACATTCCAACTTTGGGAGGGGGACCCAATATAGCATTGTTGAAGAATAAAGTCTGTATGTTTTCGCCAAAGATATTTAAAAGTATCCATTGCACCTCAAAATGTTTAGCAGATTATGTCAAAACTAGTAAACTCTTAAAAAAAATTCTGTAACCTAAGAAAGCTGCTAGTATGAACTTGAATAAATTATTTTTCAGCCATGAAAAGGCTACTCAATCTTGTATTTTCATTAGTGTGTAAAGAACACAATGCCATCACAATAGAAAAAAANGGAGAAATTGTTTAACTGAGGGATTGATTAAAAAAATAAGATTTGTTGCAAAACAAAGGTGCAACAAGGCAACTTGTTTAGAAAATAGCTAAAGGACCTAAACTTGTTCAGCATTTTTTTTAAAATGCAGGGTTCAGTAAAATTATGTAAGATTTCCCAGTCGGCAACGTTACATTATTATGAATTAAATGTTATGCTGTCATATCAGTTTAAAGAAAGTACTTTAAAAGTAACCAAATCAAATCACATTCCTGGGTTCAATGATTGCTGATGGCATTTCCCATCAGTTTCTGCTGAGTGAAAGTGCTTTATTTTATTTTTAAAAATGTGTACATTAGTCTGCACCAGCAGCATATCACAATACCATATAACAGCACAATTTGATAGAACCAATAATGCACAACTGCTAGATAAGAATGAGAGCACATTAACCAAGTTTGTTGATTCATACTAAGTTCTCCTCATGCCTCCTCTTGATCTGGAAAATTCAATATTTTGCGATGGGCCTGACGCAAATACTGTTGCTGCTTGAAATATACTTTAAAAGCTCCTTTGATGGCCACAAACGCAATACCACCCTGTTTAAACAAACAAACATTTACTCCATAGTTAAAGAAATTCCAATGTTGTAAAATCATATTACTCCAAAAAGACAGTTTTACCATTCAATGTTTCTCCTTTTCTGTTTAGTTAGTGATATTGCTATAAAACTAGTCATTCAAACCTGAAAACTAAATTTGCATGGAAAATGCACACAACATTATCAATTAAACTGCCATTTTTCAGCAACAGTAATTGTACTCAGAAGAAATTTAGTTTGTTTTGATGAGAGATTGTTACTCAAATTCACTACTGAAACGTCTAACTTTACTCTTTCTTAGTCTGTGAGACTCCTCACAGCACGGAGTATCCCCTTTTTCCTACAATCTATAGGTTTTTAAAAATAATCTTGTAAAACCTAACCACATGTTTTTTCTTGGCTTCTCTTTTTTTTCTTCTGTTCTTTTCAACCTTAATGTAAGGAACTACAGGCTCTTTATCAAGGCCTCTCAATAAAAACTACTGTGTTACCATATATTTATGAACATTAAAATCCTTTTGCTATTGAATATTCACAATTCTGAAACCCAGCACTAATGAAGTTGAATTATACAAGGTTAATACTACGTTCCCTAATTACAGAAGTAGCAAAGGATGTTTCAGAAATTCATGGTATATTTTAAATAATTTATGGCCAGCGGAAAGGTGCTAAATGTGGATTTTATCTGAATAACTGAAGCGTTGCAAATTAATTGTTTTATTAAGTTGACTGTTGTTTATACATGTAGTTTGTTTCATCATATTTGTTGCACTGTCTGGATGTATTTCAGTAGTACGATTTGCACCCACAGATAAACTCTATATTCAATGTCTTTCCATCAACGATCTTATATTCTAAATTATTCAAAATATAACCTGCATTTCCAAAGCATTTTTGCTGCACTTGTGATAAACGAACGCAGTAATGACTTTATATAATTGAACTTAACTATTAATATATCTTAGATGTTTTCTTAATAGTCACTGATAAGGGAACATATGCAGTCTAAAAATCCTTGCACACAAAGACAAACGTAAAAAGAAAAATTACTTGCCAGCAATTGTCTTCTTTTTTTATATCATCCTCCACAGACTATATTAAGTCTAAGATTTGGACTTTGGGTTTTTGAAATGGACATGTCCTCTTTAAGAAATTCCTATACCACATACCACCAAATTGTGGGTCAATTCTTTATGAATGCAAGTCCTGGGGGATTAATTGGAGGGTCCTCAATGTGAGGGGGATGTCATCATGCTGAACTAATGAGGAAAGCCTAACCCTGCTGGTAATTGTTCTTTCTTCATCACTCAACCTTCAGCATACACTGCAAGATGCTACCAGTGCTTTAAGATCTGGAGGTGAAAGTACCTGGAGGAATAACCAAATCACCAGCACTAGGTGTAGAAAGTTTCCAGCTATGCTTTGTAAATGTAGAAGGAGCTTTCCAAGTTGTAGCCTGACGAATGCTATTTCTTGAAACATTTTTCAGAGTTCTTTCCATTCAATAGTTTCAGAGGTGAGGGAGGCACTAGTTACCATGGTAAACTAAAGAGGGGCAGGCCACAATGGAACTTCTTGGAGAACATTGTTCCCTATGGTCCAGCCTTGAGTATTCTCAAATCACATTTGGTTGATAGTGACTGGTCAATATAGAAAGCCCCTGTGAGGGAATCGCTATTTGTAGAGGTTCAACTGAAGATATTAGATATTTAGTCTGGGGTAAGGGTCTACAAACATAGACATAGTCATGAGACTTAGGATATTTTAATAGAACTCTGTTTGGGTTATAGATTCTTAATGAAGTGATGACATCAGTAGAATAGAAAAGGGGTCTTGAAATACAAATAATTTTCTCGGCTGTGCACAAATAGGGCTCCTCTGTAGGTTGTGACCCACAAGAGATTCCAAATGAAGTTGTGTGTAATTGATCAGGAACCAGTTACTGGAGGATTTGATAGATTGTCACCTTGCTCTGTTTCTGACATGGAGCTCTCATGAATCAGTTGTCTAAAAACGGGTAGGTTTATGTGAAGAGACACATGCAACCCTTGAAATGGAACCCAAGACACTTCCTGTGGACTCTGAAGATGGTGATACAAAAGTATCCTTCAAAACTATTGCTGACAGCTCGTCTTGAGCAGTAATCCAATCTTGAATTTCTCTAACAAAAAAACTGTTACAAGGGTATTACATGATTGATTAGGAATTTCTTAAAGGAGAATCATCCCTTTGGACATTCCTAAAGTCTGTATCTAGGTGGAGAGAATTCTACAGTGTCTAGCAGAAGCTGAGAATGCATAAATTATTTTGATCTTTAGCAGCAGATTCTATAGTGAAGATTTTTTGAAAGACTTCTCACCAAAATTGTCCTTTGCAGGTTTGAGTTGACACTGCTGAACATAAGTTTACCAACTATAGTTGCAATGGTAGGGAACACCAGAGCCCCACAAAGAATGCGAGTGGCTGACACATGATCTGCAAGTGGACTGGCCTCAGCTGGAATTCGAGGAACAGGACTGCCTATTCCTATAAAGATAAAAAGAGGAAGATCATTAAAAGAAAAATCACGTTATCATCTAATCAGTTCCATTTTTAAGGAAGGGAGGAATGGCAAGCACACACTCTGCTTATAGTGAGAACTTCAAATATTTTCTGATGGGCAAGCGTTGTTTAGTTAAGCAATCAGCAATACTGTGGGATAATCATGAAAGAACTAGTCCAGGTTTTTCCATCTCTTTGTAATGATACCCAAGAAAGAGTGTCTATGCACTGCATGTGACCAGAACACGACCCAAAGTACAAAAAAATTAAACCGTTTCAAATACAAAAGTGTTTTTCTCAAACCCTTTTTATTTATTTTAATCTATTATTCCAAATATCTAACACAATGTAAGTTACTACATTTATCTTTCACGACTCCTTAAACATAGCGTACCATTTAGGAAGTTGAACACCAGGTTTATTCCACAAGTGAAATTGACCTCATAATTCACAAATGATGAACGGCTTCCTATGCAGTATTCTATTTATACAATATATCTGTTCCAATTTCTCATTCCTTAGCTTAACAACTAAAATTAACTTACCTTTTGCCAGTAGGTTAGTAGATCACTATAAAATAGTACCATGGTTGCTATGATAACAGGTACAATGATCATGAATTCTGAGAGCCAGTGTGAAGATATTTATTTCATTGTCAGCTATGCAGCAGAAACATGCTTTGTTTGTGCTACTCACACAATATGAAGCTCCTCAGCAGCAGTTTATAAGAATTAAGTTTCTATGGTTACAGTTGCATGCTTGCTGACACTAACTAGGCTCTCACAGCTCATTTTATTTATTTTCTGTTCGTGGCTTGCTAATTCCACACATTGTTATAAGACATTATTTGCATAAAGGTTATGAAGAAACATCCAAAATACCATTAAAATATTTATTGTGACTTATTAAAACTTAATATTTTACATTAAAATTAGCTAAATACTGGCAACCTATAACAACAATATGGCAACTAACATTTCTTAAGCCTTTTTTTAAAGAAACTATGTGAATTTGTTTCAATTAAAAGTATCATTCATTAAATCTCTACAGGTATCTGAAACATAATCCAATTACTCGGAAATGAGCTGCGAGATGTAATTAGATTACCTGGAAATATGCTGTTTAAAATCTGTAATTTAGTCGAATACTTTCGCCACAGTCTCAGCACGTAGTCTTCCCAACGAATCATCTTGCCTAAAATCAGCATAACTGGAATAGTTGGAAGTCCAATCAAAAGAAACAGAGGGTCAGCTCTCTCCATGATATCCAGGCCTTCCTTGTGTCCTACAACCTTAGAAATGCAAACAAAAAATCCATATTACCCATTACAGTATTTGACTCAAAAATTACACAGAATAGAGCAAACACTTGAAAGAAACATGGATATAATTAGTGCAGATTTTAATTTTCAAAGTTAAACAGGTTTCACAACTGGCCAGTTTCTGTATGTAAAATTGCTCTAAGATTCTATGTTTCCAACTAGATGTTCTTTTATTGTAATTACAGTATTTGAAAAAAACTGTCATAAAACATATATAAAAAGCAAAGGAAGAAGAAGAATAAAATAATAACCCTTACATTTGATATTGCACCTTTCACGCCAGGAGGATGTCTCAAAGCACTTCACAGGATTTACTGTAAAGTGGAGTGACTCTGTGTTTTTTGTGGGCAAACATATAAAAGATTTTATGTGCATATTAAGTCCACGTAAACCTTGCTTAACTAATTGTAAGGGCTGAGAATTGAGTCAAAATATACCATAGTTCAGGTTCAAAACCATTCCACTCATACTGATACTGACCAAATATAGTATTATGAGATTTTAAAAAGAAAACCTGTAACCTAAGAATGTTTATAAATTAAAGTGTGTATATCCAAATTTCAAATTTATTTTGACCTCTGCACAATATTTGCAAAACCACAAACACATAATCAAAGAAAAACAAAATAATTATATACCAATATGCTCCTTTTCAATCAATTACCTGCATAACAGTCACAGCTCCATAGGTGACCGCTGTCCAGTAGATAGAACCCACCATGATTCCAGCTGCAGCAAATGGACATGCTTTAGAGATGAGGCGGTCTGCCAGGTCCAAAACATAAACAACTGGACCTAAAAGGGCAAAAAAACTTTAGTTAGGAACTGCAATAAAGTTCACCTCTTTAACTGTAATAATAGATGAATTTCTGTGAAGCTTAGGTTTAGGAAAATACATTAATATATTTCTGTACAGTAGTTATGCTAGTGAAGCTAATTGTCAACAAATGTTTTGGTTTTATTTTTCCCGGAGGAGTTTTGTTTCCTGGCAGCTAATTAACATTGAATAATAATCCTTGAATTTGATATAATGCTTTATCACGTCTTTGAGACATCCCAAAGTTCATCACACGATACAACAACAACAAAATTACATTTATAGAGCGCCATTTATGTCGGAAGGATGTGGTGTAGGGGTGAGGGAAGGCAGAGAGGTGGGAGGGAAACCAAAGGCCCGGTCGAAGAGAAGGGTCTTGAAGGAGGCAAGGGAAGAAGCAAGGCGAAGGGACCGTGGGATGGAGATCCAGAGTGTGGGGGCAGAGAGGCTGAAAGCCCGGCCACCGATGGTAGGGTGGGAGACATGGAGCAGGCTGGAGCTCGACGAACGGAGGGAGTGGACAGGATGGTAGGGAGTCAGCAAGTCAGAGAGGTGGGAGGAAGGTGAGGACGAGGATCTTGAACTCGGTCCTCTGGGGGATGGGGAGCCAGTGGAGTCGGGCGAGGGTGGGAGCAATGGGGTCACGGAGTCTGGTGCATGAGAGTACATGAGCTGCAGAGTTTTGGATAATCTGCAGCTTGTGATGGGAAAGGTTGGGAAGGCCGATGAGGAGGGAGTTCCCGTAATCAAGCCTTGATGTGACGAATGCGTGGGTGAGGGTTTCAGCAGCCTGAAGGATGAGGCAGTGATGGAGTTTGGCAATGTTGCGGAGGTGGTGATAGACAGTGCCGGTCATGGCACGGATGTGGGGGAGAAAGGAACAGTTCAGGGTCAAACAAGATACCCAGGTTCCTGTCTGGCTTAGTGAGGTTGAGTGTGCAGCCATGGAGGCTGATGCTGCCAGCGCCTGAGGTGCGGAGACGTTGGCGTGAGCCAATCAAGAGGGCCTCGGTCTTGCTGACGTTGAGTTGGAGAAAGTTGGCCCTCGTCCAGGACTTGATGTCAGACAGGCAGTCAGTCAGGACGCCAGTTGTCCTGGAGTTCAGGGTGGAGGCTGTATACAGTCAAGTAGATTGACTCTGTATTTTGAGGGCAAAACGTGGCAGGCAGCCTGTTTGTGCACCACATTGTCCTACAAACAATCATGGAGTGGGTGACCAATTTTACTTGGTGGATTTGTTAGCAACAACACTGGGAGAAACTCCCTTCTCTTTTCTAATAATACCATGCGATTTTTAACAGGGAGACAAGACTTCGGTTTAACGTCTCATCTGAAAGTAAAATTGTTCTTTGATCACTGCTAATGTAACTAAACCATTAAACCACAAAAGTTAATTACACTAACACTACAAGGTGTCCTGTGAGTCAAATGAAAACATTTTTTTTGATGAATGCGCTGAATATTAGATCTCATTAAATGTTGCAAAGGTTTCAGTAAATGGGCTGAATCAGAAAATTTGATACAGGGCATTATAGACATCAACAGGTAGATTACTGATAGTATTTGCTCATTCTCCCAGTTCAGGTAACACTGAAGAAATAGGGTGTTGCTTATTCCTCTTAGATATGAATTACATTGCTATTGTGTACATATGCCATGGAAAATGAACTTGCAAAATCATCGACTCTTGATTTGAGCAACAAAAAAAATCAGGATATATGGGTCATTTCTTCTCCTTTGTGCTTGAGACAGTTACTGCAGGTGTAATTTCACATGTTCCAAATTCAATAGAATATTACATAATTAGATAAAACATTCTGCTGAGGATTTTTAACACTTGACTAAATCATAAACATTTCTTCTCTGACTAGATTCCCGTCTCTTCCAAGACACAATATCCAAATAATTCTCCCTTTGTCTCCCTGTGTGTAGCCCTCACTTTTGGTCACCCGCAATAGTGATATCCTCTTTAGATAAAAACCCACAGATAATTGGAGGAATTATGCTTAATTACATGCTACCTTGCTAAATCTTTATTTTTTCAATGCAGTTGCTCCACTATTTTCACTCATTATTCTATACTTATTGACAAAGTATCACTAATATACAGCAAAAATAAGCAGTTTCTGCAGGAAAAAATAGTACAATAATAATTTCCAAAAAACAAGTTTCTTCAAGAGTAGAAGGGAACTGAACAAAAGCATCCCATTTCAATCTGGATCATCAGGAAGTCAATAGGAAGGCATTTACCATGTGATAGTATGCAGTGTGAAGGTAATTCTGAGATGGAGTGTGAAAATATAGCGTATTATGAAGGCTTGTATATCTTTGTGCTAAACCCCAATAGGGCTGCTCTACATCACCAGGAAGGATATTTTGGAACTGAGGCAATTAAACAACCCCAAATATGTATAATAAGGCAGAAAAGTATTGTGATATTTTACTAAAATACAATGGAACCCAAATGATCAAGTAGCTTAACAAATTCCTCCTGACAGTGTGGGACTCAATTAAAAGTCTCAGTTAATTGGAAGAAAGGCATAATCATTCTTTGACTGATAGAGGTCATCAAAAGTAGCATACTCATGATGACGATATCTCCTACTTGATTTTAAAGACAAACAGTGACCTCTTCACTGCATACAGATTATAAACCTATGAGGGCAATGGTCAGAAAAACCTGTGACCTTGAGCAGGTCAACACCCTTACTGAACATAATGTTGGCCATCTAGCTCTAATAATATAGTAAAACTCATTTGAAGGACAAAGGTTGTGGGTTCATGTCACATCTCAGGACTTTTAGTTCACAGACATTGAAGGACAACATGCCTGATAATGCAGCACTCCAATACTTCATTGGAGTGTCAGCATAGACTGTGAGGCTCAAAGTTTTGACATGGAGTTTGAGCCTACAACCTTCTGACTCGGAGACAAGAGTGCAACCAACAATCCATCCAATAAAAAAAGTAATTCACTTCATGGTGTGTAGGACACTTCTATGCATAAATTAACTGTCATGTGCACCTACAAATAGTCACTACACTTTACAGAAGTAAAGTACTGTGAAGTGTTTTGAGACTTCTGACGTCACAGGACACAATATCAAATGCAAGGATTATTTTTAATAACCTGAATGACAACATTGTAGAAAGCATAGACTATTTGTTTTCTACAAAGAGTGGGAAAGTCAGAGGATGTCATTCAAAATATTCTGGCAGTTGATTCTTGTGCAGCACTGGGGAGTACCTGCTAATAGCAAGCAGCCTCCTCCTTGCACCCTGAGCTGAAGAATGGTTTGTGATCTGTGATCCAGAAATAAGAAAATATTGGATAAAAAAAGCATACAGGTGATTTGTATTGCAGGTCCAATTGCTAAATGAATGAATAAACAGGTTGAGGTAAAAATACATACAGTTCCTATCCACTTACATGTTGGGGACTATTTGAGTTTTGCCGATATAGGTAGTTTGTCAACATAGGGGGTCACAAGCAGACAATAGTTATTCTGTAGTTACAATTTCTGAACTATGCATTACATGCATTTTCATTGATTTATTTTTAAAAAGTTATACACTTAATTAAAATTCCTGAACCATTTATTTATGTGCATTTTCGACAAAAAATTAATTAACTTATTTAGAAAAATAGTAAAAAAAAGTAATTTAAGAGTATATTGTTGACAAAAGTGGTAATAAAACACGGTCTTTAGTACTGTTAGGGATCTAAAAAATTTATCAACATAAGTTGCCTGAGTTTATGTTGACCTCGACATAGACGGTAAGATTGTATTATTAATGTGCGGAGAAGTAACCAGGACTTTACTGTTTTGTAGATATAAGCGGGATGTCGACATAAACAGGTTTGAGATAACTGGGCAGGACTGTATTACAAATAAGTTACTTCGCTTTATATGCAATCTGCAATATCTCTAGCCAAGCAAACAAGTTTTTGGTAAACTAGTCAAGCATCATAAAAGTTTGACTACATTTACCCACAACATCCTAGACAAGGTCACATTTTGCCCCCTGCACAATGTTGTTCCACAGTGGTTAATCATTTTTTAAAAAGCAAATAAGAATCTTGGGGTCAGAGTTTGTTGATTTTTTTTTACAAAACTCAATTCCCTAATATCCATTAACTCATGAACAAGATCTTTCCTAGTTGAAGCCTGCTGTTTTGTACAGAAAGAATACCATGACGTTCCCCCTGATGTGAAAGGCACTATACAAATGTAATTTTGTTGTTGTTGTTCATGTCCACTGGGTATGACATTCTACAAAAATACACATGGATTTCTGTCACAAGGTATGAAAGTTATCAAGAACATTTATGGTTCAAATATAAATACTAAATCTAATCTCTCTACATATAGAGCGCATATGTACATTAGTTCAGCATATAGTTTCATGTATGCTGAACTAATGCTATTTAATTCCATCCAGTAGGGGTCACAGAGAGCCTAAAGAGCTAACATTGCTTCCTGATGCTCACTGAAAAACAAACACATGACTCATCACATTTATCCAATTTCCTATCTCGAAGCCGAGTCTTTATTCTAAAGTCTTGATAAAATTGTTAACGAATTGTATTGGCTCCTTACAATGGATTGCAAAACAAATTATAAGATATTTAATAAGTAGGAAAATGAAAATATCCTGGACTGGGTTTGTACAACTATAAATACATTCAAAAAAAGTAAATCAGTGATAGTTTTACAATGAATCAGCAGTATATACATAACAAAACATTATATTTTATTCCCCTCCTCACTACGAGAGCATAAACTGAGCCACAATGAAATCTGCTTAGCTCAATTTTTCCACAGTATATTTTTCAATTAAACCAACAAAAATTAGGGAATGCCTACAAAAATAATGTATTTAGTTTATCGTAAATGATTGTGAAACTAAACAAATAATTTCCAATGTACCTGTTCCCAAAAATAGAAAAGTTACAATATTCAATAGGATATTCAT